TTTAGAATCCGTTCAAATGCGCCGAATCGAACAATTAGGAATACCAATAAATCTTTGCGAGCCGCGCGCGCATTCCACGCTTGCAGCGCGTAATACTTTTTCACGATCTAATTAAACTGATTGAAAGCCCGGCTCCGGATAACAGAAGAATGCGGTCGATGTCGAAATATCGATTTAAGTTTTTTTTCGACTCTAAATGAACACTAAACGTCGCCAATGAACTTAAAAGCCTTTTTTCACACGTCTGTACACGTGTGTTGACATTCGAGAGATGTTTACTTTAGCGACATTCGTTTACACAAATTGAAACGGTAAATAAATAGCTCGGACCGCCAAGACGGATCCGGCACGCGCCTCGACCATAAATTACGAATATTACTATAATTCGATCTTATTCTCAACTATAAATAAGTTATTGTCGACATGTCACGGACACAATTGAAGGGTTTATCGCGATCGCCTGCGCCCGCGCCGTATAAAAGGTAAAAAACTTGGACTACAGGTAGGCAACCGACCTATTGTTACTTAACGAGGCGTTGAATACCCAATACAACAGGTGGCGTTGTATCTTAGTCATTTTGCAGTTTTAGAAGTTCGATGAACGCATTTATTCAAATGTTATTCGTGTGGCGTGAAAGCGCTTGATAAAACCAGCCGTGCGACGTGAACGGATTACTGATACAGGCGGCTAGGATTCGTTTGCAGAATCTCTAAACGTCGAAGAGGTGAATTGTATATTTAAATTATCCTGGATGATCAGGGATAACATATATTTAGAGTTAGATTTTCCACTCGATGTGAAAATTCCTTCGACGTTCATGAAACTATTAAGTTACGCTGTTATAATGTTACAATAAATAGAACCGTAACTGGTGCCAGGAAGTGATGAGGATCGAGTTCTAGACGGCGTGCCACTAAAGTACTGCTACATTAATTTCTCTAGATTGCTCTCCCGAAAGATCCGCGTCTTAAACCGAGATTACGAACATGATTTATATCAAGGTGCAACTGGGAGCAAACGGATTTGTAGATTCCGAGACGCGATAGATACAGTGCGATAGAAACACATACCGTTTGCCAATCGAGGACGCCCCACATCGACCGCCACGAAACTTTCCACAATATTTTCATCGCAAACTTGAACCAACAAAAACTCTCATTCGTCATCTACCGTGAAATGTTGCACACTAAAAAAGCTAAGCTACAATAACGCGAAATTGCCTTTTATATTGCGTCTTAATAAAGTTCGCAATGCAATGGTTAATCGAGTTTTTATGAAACCACCTCCGTTGGGTTGGGATAGTTGGCGCCGTTCACTGTTAATTGCGCGGCACCGAGGACATCCATTATTGAAGATAATTCAGCCAGCGCAATTAGAAGATGAGTCGTGATTCTACTTGCGATCGCGATAAAGCGCCCGCCCGATATAAATTAACCAGACCCAGTTATTAGGAACGGCTTCAGGCTTTTTAGTGCCCATAATCATATGACTCGAACAGGTCTCCTCATTACCTAGATCGTTACGAGCTCATCTCAAATTCTATTCGTATGAAGAATGTTGTGTTTACAAAAACCCGCATTGGATCTAAACAAATCTATTCGAATTTTCGCATACCAGACGTTTATTTGGATAATTTACGATCCTCAACTCGGTTTTGGCATCTTTAATGGGGGCTTAATGCAATAAAAGTCAGAGCTTTTGGTGTAAGTAATATTCGTTATGTTAATTATGCTAGTCGAAGCCGAATGGCAACAAGGCCGCAACGTAGCCTTGCCTTTTCCGCGTCATCCAATCAGCTAGCAGCCAGTTGAGCTGGCACCGATGGCCAAACCGGCTTCCACGCGAGCCAAACATTATTAACGTAATAAAATACCAGATACAAGCTGCTGGGACAGCGTGTGAACGTCGAGAGAAAGCCGGTGTCGCAACACGAGTAACGTTTATTACTATCTGATATTCTGACGGCTTAGACCGCCGCAGCTGTAGAATTCCGACTAGTTAGTCCGTAGAATATTATAACTTCATAACAGTTATTATCCGCTAAAACGTTTTATTGTCGGCAATCATCGTGAAAATTAGTGTTGATCATCTCTATCTTGAGTTATCTAATATTTTTGTATGTCTAAATTTAATAAGTTGGAACAATCTGTGATAATGTGATTGTCATTTGTTTTTACTTGTTATTTTTGCCTGTCACATGAACTATCGTTTTTGTCAACAGTACTTTCCACAGTTACCACATAGAATTGTTCTGTTGTAAAGTACTCAAAGGAATATCGATCCTGCTACTTAACTCTCTATTATTGGCTGCTACCATTTTGGAGTTCGGGTCCTATTTATATCAAACAGATTATTGCGAAGCCAAAGCAACGTTATTTTATAAATCTACGATTCACTAGAAGTAGCAAACTAGTCTACTTGATTCAGAGCGGAATAAATTTCGCGTTATCTCGACCGGAATCATAATTGAATTTCCAATATGAAACGAGTGAAATGCAGCAAAGAAACATTCGCAACTTGATATCCTGGACTCATAGCGGGCTTTAATGAAATTGAAAAGACATCGCAAACGATGCGATGCAATATATCTTTTTCTTGTGATCTCGCTCCACCCGTTCCTTCGTGCGGACGAATCAATCGGACTCCAAATCTGAACGGCTTCTTTGTTTGTATAATAAACACATCCTTATGGATCCAATTCGGTGGCCTTTTTAAGCCGATTTGCACTTATTAGGAGTAAATGTTATCTTCGTTTATTCTGAGGTTTTTATTACGTTCTTTACTCAAGGCTTTGAGAGATTTTTTTACTTTTGTATAAAAGAATCTATTTGTTAACCATAACATAGTTTATTATTTGGGAGAAGACAGTTTAATAGTTACTGATATTAACTGTATTTAAAAAACATATCTTTACCTAATAGTCTTTGATTTTTCAACTCTTATAGAGTATTGCCAGTCATTTCAAAGCTCTGTATTCCAAACCTCTTATAATACTGTAAACCCACACTCAATTACCTCCGAACAGATCCACGTGTCTAAAGGGTGACTGATTACTCTGAATACAGTGCATTAAAGCACGACCCGTTCCAACCGTTTACATCCGTGAAGCCGCGCATTCTCAGCAAATGTGCCGTGAAGCTGCGCCGGCGCCGCGACCCCCCCAACGTTCTAAAAGTGACTATTAGCACATAAACAACTATGTCAATATCGAATTTACAAAAAGTCAAAAACTCGGATAAGGAGCACTTTACAGTATCTCAAGTTTTATCCCAAGCTGATTCGGCCCGACTCATTAGTTGCTCCGTCTCTTTCCAGTCTCGCTTCGTCCCTTTCGCTCCTCATCTCGGGAGGGCCATTTATCAATTCCAAATAACATGCCGGGACCTTTTCTCTCTTCTGTTTATTTGTTTTTTATTTACCTTATCCTTTGGTGCACGGTTGTGATTGTTTTTTACTCGAAATTGATTGTAAAGCCGACTTAATGATGTTCATCTAATGTACGATGCTTCGATAACGCTAATTGTACTTCAAATGAGTCTGTATTTATGGCTTCGGTTTGTTGATTAGTGAGTCAGTGATGAAATGTATTACCCATGAGACAAATGTAGCTCTCTGTAACTTTTTATTATCTTTCCTTAAAGCATTCCGCTGATACGTTGCGTTCTTGCTATTATCTAATTAACTAGAAACTATTGAATCTTCCAATGAACGTCGTTAAGATCCTGTGAACACATCGATATCTTTTTATAAAGGCCTCGAGTTTTATACCTTATAGAGTGCAAGACTCCTTAATTATTTATTTACGTCACGTCCAGTCTCTGTCTTACAAAGTCTTCATCTCGATCTTGAAGAATAGCCATTGAGATTCCGCAGTTTTTCTGCTTAGCAACGAAAGTTTATCGCTGCGTTGTCGGGCTCCGGTAATTCTGAAATCGGGTTAATCAACATTTCAAATTCAACCGAGAAGTTGGTGGGCTTATAGCTGTATATTAATTAAGACTTGTCTGTTATTAAAAAATCCCAAAGACGGAGTCGATAAACGTAAGATTCCATCGATGTTCATCAAGGGGGGTCCACGTTTCCCTAACCCCTCTTAAACCGAAAGCAAATAAAGCGGCGTCCATCTAAAATTAATTTCGTTTTGTTTTATCGTCTGGAGTCGAAACATTTACATTGAATGTGCTCGGAGGCTGCCCGCTCTCAGGATATTTATGCAGAGGCCTTCGGTGTATGACGTGCGCATTATTCATACACTGTACACGCTATGGGGTATCTGTTTATTTCTGTTGGTTCATCGCCTTTTCGGCCAAACAAGCTATTAGGATTGTTGCATTAAACTTGAAAAAGAAAATCGTATATCTATTTAAAAGTCATCATTATCCATATAGACAAAAAAACTTTCCGCTAACTGTAAGTGTTGTTCCATCGTTCTTATTTAAATTTGGAGTTCAAGAGAATTTTATAACCACATTCAAATTCACAGAGCACGTACTAAAATAGTGAATAGTGAATCATAGCTATGCAGTGAATACAGTAGGTTCGACCAGCTATCAAATTTTACGAGCCGCGGGCGCCGCACCGTCGACAATCTTGATTGGATCCACTGTTTACAGCATTTCCTATTGCATTGCCATCGACAGTTTCCTGCGTTGAATTGTTTATAAATGTGTAAAATTTGATAACTATGGAGTGTTCATGGCGATTTTACTGTTACTGCTTGATCCTAATATAAGTTTGCAATAATTTTCAAGTATGCCAATATCGACATAATTTAAAATTGAATTTTTGTAAATTATGTTAATAATTGTGCATAAAAGTTGCTCGACTATAAGCATGCATAGACTGTGCTATGATTGAAATCTACACGTTGAAGTGCAAATTCCTTTAAAAAAATCCTCGTTTTGCTAAACCAATAAATAATACATACCATTCAACAGTAATCACAACTTAAAATATAAGCACGTAGAGAATTAACTAATATTTCTGTATTTCTTTACAGATCCGAAGCAGGATAAAGATGTTGAGGGCGTCCGATGTTACTGCAATACCGCACAGTGTGTCGGGACAGGATACATGTGTCGCTCAAGAAAAGGTGGAGGCTGCTACAGTGAACTGCCACCAAGAAGACATCACTCCAGACACGGATGTCTACATCATTTAGCTGAAAGGTATGGTCGTTAAGTTTCTTGCTTCCTGCAACTTATAGCGAACCCAGCCAATTGTTTTTATACAAATAGTTCTAATATGGGTTATATTTAAATTAGGAATTTTAATCATTTCACATGTCATAAGTGTCAAAAAAAAAAACAAAGAATAATGTGTTTGTCAAGGCTTCAAATATTTCAGAAGCGTTCCAAATCATTATCAAAGGCAATAATTTCCTTAATGGCATATAACACGATTGTTTTAATGGTACTGGTATGGTATTGAGTGGTTTTATGGTACACTTAATATCACTAACTACATATAAGATTCTTATCGGTGACTGAATATTTATCTCATTATCGAATGCTCATCGTCAAAAACAGGTAATCAAAAAATCTTCCTTCACATTATTGGTTTGTGATTTGTTTTAAGCTCTTAACAGCGGTCCCCCGTTTTTCTTGTTAAATTTCATCGTAGAATTAATTATCTACTCCTTTGTTACCTGCTTCACTGACTTGCATTGTCATCCATCAATTCTGCTTATCATGCTTGAGAACGGTCTTACTAAATAGTAAATATCCCATACGCGCCTCATGTAGCTTCAATTTGTCTTCGATCGATTCAAAATTGCTTCATAGCGCTTTCAACATCGATGACTAGATATAAAATTATAAATCGATACAAACCGTTAATATGTCTTACCAGTACGTCGATTTCTTTTATGGCAATATTATCATTCGTCAATCGTTTTTGTTCCATTGAAGCATGTTCAGTGCTTTCATTATTTTTTTGTTGCTAATTATATTCGACGAAAGCGATTCCTTTTCTTTCGGGGTTCTGAGTACGGGCTTGTGTCATACATTTTATATGGTCTTACAGATTCTCATTAGTAACATATTATTTTCAATTACTTGTAACAAATTAATTGTAATTCACCCGTTATATTTATTGTTAACTTATACCTCTTTACGTAACACATTTTTGAACTACTCAGTAGCTGTCAATATTATTTCTCTGTTGAACAGACCCCCATTATATTCCGAGCTGCTCGCTCTTGACCGACTTTTTGCATTAAAATGCCCGCTCAGTTGATTATCTTATACAGATCCAGACCCCGCTCAAAGAACTGGTTCCATCTACGGGCGGGCGGCCTTTTATTTGTTTTAAACGATTTTTGCTCGTTTTTGGCAATCGTCCGTCGTTCATTATCTACTTTAACGATCGCATCGTCTACTTCGTTAAGATTTCGATCGCGCTCGAATTGAAATTGTTCGAATCGGTAATTAATTTCGTCGGAGTTGTTTATTGTAGTTTATAAATTGTGGCCAATTGACGTTGGATCTATGTCCTCGTTTGTTGAGATAAGGGTGACGAGCCTCGGGGTTGTGTCAAAGGCCGAGCTCGTAGATAGCACGGCCACTGAACTGAACAATGCCTAATAAAATTCCACTCTCTACTGCGCAGTTATAAAGTGCGTATTAGAATACGCATTTGATACTTCAACTGCCTACTATTTTAGATATTGTCACATCTCTATGCGATAACAGACACTCTGGTGCTACTGTGGTAAACAAAAACGATAATATTGATTCCTACTTATTTTATACAAACATAAAATTAGAACTACTTGTTTATCTAGCCAAAGTTAACCATTGGACTTTTTTGCATTCTTCATTTGACTAAAATTTTAATTTATATCGGTGGAGCCGTTCTAGGCTTTTAGCGTGAGATTCTTACGAACTTTTTTGCGTTACTTTACTTGTTTATAATTTTACTTCGAAACTAAATTTTCCTTATACATTTTGTTTTATAAATGTATTATTAACGTTAATTAGTGTAATCTGGTTCATTGTATATGTCAGCTTTTAATTGGCGGTTTTGTTCAATAATAATTCCACTAGATGTTTTATCAACATCATTCCGTTTCGAGAGTCAATAAATAAAAACGGTACGGTTTTATGCGTTTCGTCGATTTTTCATGCGTGCCCGTTTTGGCGTTAAAATTATTTCGTTACGGCGCGCGAGAGAAACAATTAGCGGATATTTCGAAATAAACATTGGTAGATGGTTTAAATAAAACACTTTAAAGGTTTAAAACGCGAAATATAAACTGTTTATAGATAATATAAAACACTAATGGTTCAAAACGCGATATATAAAGATAAACTTATTTGAAAATTATAATGTTTTCTGTTACTTTGCAGCACCCGTGATCACGGGGCCGTAGTTAAAAATTATGTATTAATCAAATATTTCGTGTTTTAAACCATTAAAGTGTTTTATTTCAACCGTCTACCGATGTTCATTTCGAAATATCCGCTAATTGTTTCTCTTTTTGTTGTATCTTTTTTTTTAATATTTTAACAATGAAAGGATGTTTGGGATGCTTTGCAGCAGCCGTGGTCCCCTTTCGCGTTTTGAGCAGTTAAAGTGTTTTATTTAAATGTTTACTACTCGCATAAACTACAGACGGTGGTAGATCGCTATATCCATCAATATTTAAATAAACATATCAAGCGGTAATGTATACGAGATTTTATTAACGTGTTATTCCATATCGGTATTCCAATACATTGTGTTTCTGTTCATAACTTAGGATAAATCTTGTTTCGTATGATTTTATTTACGCACAGAGTATCGCCGTGGTACATAAATCTGGGATTATGTTAATATTTGGCTCCACTCCATGTCTCCAACATTTGTAATACAAGAGAGGTGTAACACCAGAAGTTTGTGGTACAAATATTTGGTACGGATTTTTATTATTATTTAAATTAGGGTCTTAAAACTGCTTGGTGGTCTTATACATATTATTGCGTTGGTTATAAAGTTTATTGGTTTATTTTTCCATGACGTCAATTGTTAAACGCGTTGCCTAACATTGCGACAAGCGCGGTCCGAAGTTCTAAGCTAAAGAATGATAATTTGTTCCCCCCAGGGGGAGCACAAAACTCTACTCAATAACTCCCCCAGTCGGTAAAACAGGAGTTCACCGAGGTTCCAAGAGAAATCGCTTAAAGAGTATGTCATGATATTTATATATCTTAGAATCTGTAGCTAAATGGTTAGACGTGTTGCCTAGCAATGCGTTAAGCGCGAAAGGACCTGGGTCGAATCCCAGATAAAGAATCGATGGTTGCGGTCGGGTAAGGCGTCTTATCAACTACTTACATATATATATACAATTAATAAAACCAATGGAAATGCGTTCGCCCCATGCCCTACGAGGGGAAATGGAATTTCATTATTATCCCTTAAGACTCGCTACTTGTGTTTAGTATAACCTGTGGTGTTTGAGGGGGGATTAGATTAATAGCCTTCAAACCTTAAATATTTTTCGAAGAAAGTTAAGAAATATCTTCGAAAAGTAAAAAAAAAGGGTACAAATGAGAATTTATTCGGAGATAAGAAAATGTTTCGTCATGCAGAGAGAAATCATATATTTCAGATTTTGATATTATTATTTTTTATGATAGAGGACAAACGAGCATGTGGTGCACTTGGTGGAAGGTTACAACAAGATGCGCCGCCGATTTTAGTTTTTTTTTTAATTTTCGGAAACTCTGTTTAATTTGTCTTGAAGTGTAAATGGTAAGATTCATACATACTCTAAGATAGTTCTTTTTTAAACAGACCTATAATATTGCTTTTGAGACAAGCTCTTACTTCAATAAAACACTTTAAGGGTTAAAAAGCAATATATATTAGTAAAACTTATTTGAAAATTATTTTACCTACGGCCCGATGTTTCCGTTAAATATGTACTACTCGCGTAAACAGACAGATTCGATGTTCTTAGTGTTAAAGCCGAGGTGTAGATAAAAATGATTGCTTATTTAAAAGTCGAAGCTACCCGACAAGTAGCTTTGCCTATTAAGAGCCTAATTTACAATAAAAGTCGTCTCCTAAACGTTCACTTAACACTTACCATAAAAACCAAATGAAGTGGTAGCACAAAATAGTATTCAGCTAATTTGAATAGCGATGACATTTCTCGTGGGAACCGCGCGGGATATTTCAATCAAATACCTCGGTATTGCCATGGTATGGGATCAATGATGCGCAGTTATTTAGATAAACCGTTTAGGCATCGCTAATCGTAAGCCATTTGAATATTTGATTGTTTTAGCGACGCTCGTTAGTGGGCCATAAATTAAATGTCACTTTCGTCAGGTTTCCAACGTCGCTGGGAATATACTTTCTTATATAGTTGTTATATTTATTTCAACGAGGCTAAAAACATAAAAAGCTTAATTAAAAAAAACTAAAACTGCCCGAGTCGAAAAAAATTTTTCAATTCAATTTCCATTTTCAACTTAAGACATTTTTTGTAACGAATTTATCCTTTAGATGTAATTTTGTAAAGCTTGACGTTTTTAGCTTGAAAATTTTAGACACGGGCATGACTTGAACCGGCATTTACAGCGTTCCGTGCTGCCCGTGTCGATATATTTTTAAAACTTTTATAGATTTTTAATATTATATATTTATAAATAAAGTAATTATATAGAAATGCATTTTGTCTTTATTAAGAGACGTGTTTAATATAAGATAACACTTCTGCAAAAGTTAAAACAATATAAAAACACAGCACATCTCTGTTTGAGAATTATTACTGTGAGAATTCTCAGTAAATGTTTTCCATTTCGAAGCGAAATACAATTTGTATTCCGTCTGTGTATGTGGGCGAGCACAGAACTGTGACTTACCATTGAGTTATTGTTTAAAAAACCGTTTAAGGTTTATTTAAATTCGTCCCCTGAGATATTGCGTTGGCCTTGGCTGACGATGAAAATTAATTCTTACTTCGGTACGTGAGACGCGGTATTGGGAGGATCGAAAATTTGACATATTATGTCACAAACAGTCTTTTTTGGCGAGATTTACATGTTTGGTAAAAAAATACATTAATATTAAGTATTAGATTTCGAACGGAATTTCGATATTTCTACCACCCATTTTATATCCAGATTTCCAGACGAAGTACAAAATGTTTTATAAAAAATATACATTAATTAGAAGCATGTTGGACGTGCATAGCTATGATTACACCAACGAGCTCGTCAAGATTACATCATTAATTTATTTCTAAAAATGTTTCAGAGAGGAAGAAGCTTTAGCGCATTGCCAGAACACTCCGTCGTCTGGTGGTCCGCCACCAAGGGAGCACTCTCTACTTCTGTGCTGTTTCAAAGATCTCTGCAACCACGAGGATAGCCCAATAGCCAGAGCCAGGCTCAATCTCACCCGTTCTGACTTAGGTATGTATTCCTTTACGTATTATGAAACTACAACCGAACGAAAGAATTGGAAAGCACGAACACAGTTGCACTATCAACATTATCTTACATGTATATTTGTAACCAGCTATATACAGCAGCCAAAATAGTAATTTTAGGCATTATATTATTTATTTTTGCAAACTCATTTATTTATTATTATAGGGGTTACCTACGATGTCGTCCGCGTTCCGTCGTCCTTGCGAGTTATTCTTGAAATATAGACATATACTGTCTTGTGTTTTTAGATCATTTAGAGAAGATTCATTCTTTCATACCTATTTTGTTGGTTTTTTAAACCGCTCTTTCCGCATTTCCCTCTGTTACTTTGCTTCTCTTGGTTGTTGATAATCTAAACGACACAAATAATTTTTCGATTCGAACTAAATAGACTTTTGTGACAAACAAACTCTTCAGCTTTATATATTAGTATAGATACACACAGACAATTAGAATCATTCTTTTTAAAATGGTCGTCGGGTAATAACGTCAGAATTTCAGAATACAGTAAACAGTGATGCAATTTCAAATGTTAACATTCATATCACATCGGCTGACTCATGGCTTATGTTAGATAAGAACGGCTACAATAATATCTTTGTTCAAGGAAATCACAGGGAATTGTTTTATTGAATTTCTCGAGATATATTGCTGGGATATTTGAGAAAATTGGTATACTTAAATAAACCACTTTAACTAAAACGCAAAATATATAAGTTAATCTTATTTACAAACTTATTACAACTACGGCCCGTCGTTACGTTTCGGATGCTTTGCAGTAGCCATCCTTAGTTTCCTCGTGACCACGGCTAGAATACGTCATAAAGCTTATTATTTATTTAACGAGACATAATACTTACAATGTTCTTATCGGTAAAGATTACATTAATGTAATTGGCTAATAAATGATGCAAGGTGCAAAACAATTTTTAATAGCGGATATCGTAATTATTATCAAAAATATCACTTGCTATTTATACATTGTTTACTAAGCAGTATTTGTAAAGTATTATATTTTTTATTAAATTTTAAAATATTGTAGGTTTTTTTTAAATATTACACGCTATGCATAATATTAAAAAAACATTTGTATTAAGACTATTCTTACACGACTAGATTAAAATTTTAATCACCCGAAACGTCTTGTCGTAGTTATAAATTCATATATTTCGCGTGTAAAACCGTTAAAAGTGCTGTATTAAAACCATCATCATTTCGAAAATCTTGTTAATTGAGTTTCTTATTTATCTTTAAATTATGTGTAAATTAATTCTAACATTCATGTATTTTCTCTACTTATGTCTCATTGTCGCATTTCGTTTGCTAAGCTTACCTACGTAAAAAAATTACGACCCTTATTTTTTTAACTATATAAGCTTAGATATCCTTAAGAGGTTTTATATTGGATCGTTTTGGATGCATACATGCATCGGTTGTGGATGCATGTCAATATTAATATATATATTATGAGTAATGACATGCATCTACATCATTATACTAATATAAGCTTTGTTTGTTTGGCTTCAGGAACCTACGGGTTCGAATTGAAAAAAACTTTTTGAGTTAGAGCATTTATCGAGGAATGCTTTAAAACATCGTGATAAGACTAAACCGACAGACGAAAAAACGGGGATTTTTTTTTCCCCTAGGTTTCCGATGCGTACGCTGCCCAAACGGTTCAAGACACTCAAAAAATATGTATCAAAGAATGACTCCTCTATAAATAATCTAAAAAAATGTCAGCAACACTATATATCTATATTTAAATATTGATGAACAAGAACGATAAAGTCGAATTTGTTTGCAAAGGCAAATATGGATGTTCAAGATTCTACGCGGGCGAAGCTAGTGGTATTAATAGTGGTAAAAACGTATTGTCTTTCAATCACTCGCATTATTAATATGCAAAATGATAATTGTTGATAGCTGATAGCTCAATAAGAATGCAATTGTTAATTATGCATTCGATATTATGGACTCCGTTAGTTCCGGGTAGTCCTATATGATAAGTCTACCTTCTTAGAACGCTATAATACGATAAATTCTTTTTGTGCCCTCTTCCTGTTATATTAGAGAAAAAACGTTGCATTAACGTTGAAAGAGATAGCAGCTTGAAATAAACTACGTGAAAAATAAATCTATTTCAGACTAAAAAAACAAGGCAAAATACTAATAGCACTACTTTTTAAAAAAATACAATAATTTTTGTGCTATCCTGTGCTGTGGAAAAGAAACGTCAAGATAAGTTTTTTTCTTTCTATGCTAATTATTATACAGATAAAGAGATTCTTTGTTTGTGTGTTTCAACGCGTTAATCTTAAGAACGACTGCTTTGAATATTTTAAAATTAACCTGCACAAACGATGGGACGCGGTCGATGTCGTGAGTAACTGCTATAATATATTGATTGTAGAGGTTGTTTGAAAAATAAATTAATATGATGCCCAAAATAAGTATATAAAATCACTATATTTTATATGTGTGATGTCGTTTTTCTCTAACTGGGGTAAGGGGCAGATTCGACGAGATGAGATGAGACATACATTTTTTTTATAATATTTATTTACGTATGTATAGGTTACGTATAGGTTGTATGTATTATATTTATTAGTGTGTTTCTCTTATGTATTGTTTATGCTACGTAACTGAATACTAAGAAGATTTAAAATTCGGTAGCTTATCTCCGTTACTAATACAGGCTTCAGAAGATAAGATTTACAAAACAAATCTCGAAAAATCTAAGTCATTGTATTTCTTGTTAAGGCACTTGGCTTTTAACATTTCATATCTAAGCTAAATCTCGAGCGAAGTTCAATGTTTGAAGATAATATTATTATTTAGAAAATCTTTCTTGGTTTGTATTGTTTTTTTTTGTTAACTGCTATTGTTTCTTAACAATATTAAGCAGATTTTTTTAGTATAAAATACAAACTATTAGTAACTATTTGTTCTTAATCTTTTTGTCTTGTTAGTTCTTCATCTGTTGCCCCATTTCCTTCTAATCAGTGGATTAGACAGACCAGAAGCTGATAACTTTGTTACATCCAAATCATAACAAATAACATATAGGTTTATACGTATATATGAGTCAAAAGTCTTTTACTTACTAAAATATATTTGAAAAAGGAAAAACCAATTTTATTCTATAAATAAAGGGTTTATCTCAATGTAATTTATCTCGAGATTTTTCCATAGAGTTGATTCCAAACTAACCGATTATTTTTTAATTTTCAGATGGCAATGCAGTAGCCAGCGAAAGGGGTGCAAGTTACAACGGCGAAGTATGGTTCAAAGCAGCTACCATCGCTGTGCCAGTGTGCGGTGCCCTTATATTGTTCCTTCTAGTCGCGGTCGCTGTCAGATTGCTAAGGGCCGACGCACTCTTGCATGCAGATAGAAAACTAAGGTATGTTGCTCACTAATGATTATAATAAAATATATGAGACATGCGTTTTAAACCGTTAAAGTGTTTTATTTAAATGTGGATTAAAGTACATACAGTATTTAATTTTCTTTTAAAAATTGCAAAATTTTAACTTGCAGTGGACAGAATTATTAAAAGATTAATAAGACACCTTTCAATATTTAGTTAATATTAGGAATTATACCTACATTACAAAAAGTCAGATATTTTCAAATACAAATTTTGTAGACCTTATTTATTTCCAAAACAATGAATGAAGTCAAGATAAATGTGATAGATTCTTATTTGCTATACTACTTCCTTTGTACCAAAGATAATTAAACATAATCTAATCTAAAGGAATTGAAGAGTGGATATGTAAATGTTCTTGAACATGCAGATAAAAACCTAAGTCATGCTGTTATGCCAACGACCTATATTTTGCAACTAAAAAAACCAGTGAGGGTTTTGACAATTCAATCAATATTTTACAAAAAAAAATGATAATTTACGTTTGTAATTAGGGGTTGATAGAATTAATATAATATGTTTAAATAGATTTTTTTTTTCAGAGGGGGCTACATAACTCCACCTCAGCACAGCACGGATGACGTCAAGAAAGTTTGGGTGGGTAATTCTGCCCCCCTACTCGTCACACCAGGGGGCTGCTTAGTGGCTGTGGAACGGGCGCAGTTAGTGGATGTGCCGACCCAGCAATTCTGTGATATACAACGATAGACTGTACTATGTAATCTCTGCCGGTTGCACCGTGAAATGACAATTGAGTGTGAAGCTCTTGGACTATAAATGCGCATACGCAGAACCAAATTAAATATTGTATTTTCATCAATTTAGATTAGGAATGAAAGTGAAGCTAGAAATAAGTGAAGTATGGAAATAGCCTTTTTTATATAAAATAACATTGTAACAAACCGAAGAGAGGAGTAAGAAATTTCACAATATGCCTAAAATCTAGTGCAAGAGTTATGAATCAAAAACGTATTAAAATTGGATCTAATTTAATTATTGATCTCATCTACAAACGTTGCTTCACGGTTCGTCCGGCTCCTATACCAAATTACCACAATGTATATTTTTTGTTATTTTTATAAGCTTCGTGTTCCTCTATTGTAAATGTAATCAACTCTATATTAAGGCCTTTTTCAGATCATTTCCTTGACTAATTTTAAACCCAGATTGACAATTCACAGATCAATTGTGATAAATGGCAACATATTTGACAGTTTTAAAACTGAATTGACATTGGCAGCTTAGTTCAAGCTTCGTGTTTAAAAAAGTGACAGATTTATATTATTTAATATTTCAGTTAATTTAGTGGGGCTGAAAAATTAATGTATAAATGGAATATTTTAATATGACGTGTCTTCAAACTGTTACAATATTTTTGTATAGCGTTTAGGCAGGGAATGACTAAGTACTTTTTGAAAAATTTACAAAACATGACTGAAAATTAACATTACCTAGTAAATTATTTGATGAAATGTAGAGATACAATTTAGCGCTACTGGCATATGGAAAAATGGATTATAATTATTTATTGGGCGACGAAGGCAAATATGGTTTACTAACTAGTGTTTTACCTACGCAGGTGTTGCCATTATACATAACTAAATCACACACAATAGAAAGTGTAATTTTTATTTTAAGCTATTATTGTATATTATTAATACAGATTATATACTCGTATCTCTGCGATGTTAATCAAATGGCAACATTCGTATCTCCATTGACTAAATAAGTTCAAAATTCTAAGAAAGTGACGTCACAAATATTTTGCTATGGACACTTTATATACTGTCAATTCAAAGCGGAGTGACATTCTTGAATTTAGTAATAAACCTGTCGGGCCTTTTAACATGACCAATTGTAAATATAGTGCGATTAGTTGTTACCTGTTATTTAATCTTAATCGTCGATTCAACTAGTCGATTATCTTTCTCCTTATATCACAATATATCAAGCGACGCATGGTAAATGTATATGTATGAATGTAAATATAGTGTTTTATCTGGCAATAATGCACCGATTTTAATGTAATATAATATGCACTGGTAGCTTAAGTATGCTTAATTTTGTTATTGTATTAAATAAATTCTTAAGAAGTTTCCTTGGCAATATGCTTAACACGAGAATCCGGAATTAAAATTACCCTTAAAACACTACACACTGAAAATGTACTGCCTTTTTGTGTTTTAGATGTCCGAAATTTAACATAATATTTCACAATTGATGAAAATGCTGTTCTTGTTGATGACAGCATGTTCTTTTTAGACTTTTTTGTATAGCTTAGTCATGTAAAAATTCTCAATTTGACAACAGACATTTATAAGAAGCATGTGGCATAGCTATACAAATATATAAAGTAACAAAATCGTGAAACTATTTATACAAATTTTGACACAGAAAGTAATTATAATATACAGTAGTCTAAATTTAACTAGCTATTTATTAAGATTTTGTTTTAAATGTAGCTCTAAATCAATTGACTTACTCTACCAGTGTTTAAATGACACTAAGCTTCCCTGAGGTGCCTTACTAATATAAAAATAGGTGCAAACACAAATACTCTTGTAATATTAATCTATATCAGCGATTTGTAAATAATAATGTTGTATAAAATATTGAATGAATAAAGTGAAATTATTTTATTATCTCGTTTTTTACTTCGGCCTTCACTGCAGAATTAAAAACACACTTAAACAACAGTATGACATGTATTTAGGTAAAAATTTTCGTTGGAGTGAACATAATACGTTGACCGTTTTCGACTTCGTTTTCGATTTTCGGACTCTGAAACGAAAAATCTATGTAATTGTTGTCTGTGAGAGTGTATGGAGATTCACATCGTTCTCGTCGTGTAAGGATTTCAAGAATCAATGATTCTTCGAGTAATCGAGGAGCTAACATCTCCAGATGATGTCGAGAACCTCTTCTCGGTCAAGTCGGCCGAACAGCCCGAAAACCAAGGATATGCGAATCGTTCTCATCTAAAAATAATCTCAAATATTCAATACTTCAGCGACTCCGACTATTAAGTTTTTTTTTATAAAAACATTTAATTGTAGCAGAAAGTACATATGAGAACAAAGCAAAATTACCAACACACATATTATTCTATTAGATAAGTTAATATGTTTAATTTTTTACCGGTACTAATCGCTTTTGTTACGGTTGCTTTTGAATTTTTATGTTTAAAAATCTAGTTAGTTATTAGTGGCCTAATATTTTGCATACCAAAACTATAGATATATTTTTTAAAACAGTTGCATGGATGTAATACAAAATCAATATTACTATTTACTCAGATAAGATACAAAAATATGTGTATTTTTTATCTATCGTTGTTTACTATTTAGGCCAGTCGCCGAACTAGTGCTCTATACGAGCTATATTTTTATGATTTTTATTTCAATGTCGTTTTGTGTAATGATAATTAATCTTGGTTCATACAGATCTTTATCAATATAGCCTTAATAACGGAAAAACATGGCGAGAAAATAAAAACATCCTACAAATTTTAATTAATACCCAATAATATTTATGTCATAAAAATCATATTTAGATCAGAATTGATAAGAATTATCTACATATAAAGAGCAAAAAATATATCCTAAAAACAGTTACATTTTGTGTGTGGTTTAATATACTTGTTTTTAATTCAACTATTTTTACAGGTAAGATAATGTTGCGATATTATTTGACTGTACCTGTGCATCTCTAAGCTAAGATAGTTGCACAGTATTACATTAAGAACTAGGCCAGTAAGTATAATGTATGACTGAAACACAGTAATGTGTTTGCCCCATACCCCACGACGGGAAATGGACGTTCACTAACTGAACATACATTCTATAATTGTTATAAGTACATTCCGGTTCTTGCATAATTTTGTCTATGAACAGAAAAAGAAGTATACGGCTTTATTACAAATAACGAACACCAAGAATTTTCCATTGCATTTGCTACTTACGCGGTTTAAGTTTACAAAATCATAAATGAAAAAATACTTCTCGCTCCGTAGCCTCTCTTTTAAGGTTTATAAAACAAACCTGAAATATTTATTTAATTCCTTTCACAGCCTTTCTTGAATCGTCAACAGAAATAAATTAAAACTTAAAAAAATATCTAAAAAAAATTTCTAGTTTCTAAAAAAGTTTTTCCGAAGTTTAGTAGTAAGCACAATAAACGGTTGGTCCCGGCTTCACCGGGTTTTGTGCCAGTATTGTAGTGGTGGTCGTCTTTAAGGCCCGTGAATTTATATTGGTAGAGCATTCTAAGCATTAGTTCTTAAACCATCTCCTATGAGGCAGGAGGTGCTTAGCTAGTTTGAAATTAACGAATATCCAAAGTCAAAATAGGTAGACCGCGCATCATGTTTAGTTGATATATAGCTGGGGTATTTCGCGTATTATCAAGTAAACTCCAAGTTTATCTTTAAAAAATAACCCTAAATGCGACCTCACCCCTCCCCCCGCACCACCCCATCATGGGAAATGAGAATACCTTATGATATTAAATACTACTACCATTGATAAATCACACTGCACTTAAAACGACGTAAACAAATAACTAACTGTTTATTACCATAATAATTACGCCACGTCTTGTCGTCCTTGTTCAAATTCAAATCAATATTATGCTCTGTGTGATATATAATTCAATGCTGATAGATAAAATACGGGTATGAAATTATATAGGACTTAATATGCACTTAAATACATAAAGGTTTGGCAGTATAATTTTTTCTACTAGTCAATTAAAACAGCTGACTACTACACCAATATGACCTACCAAACATTTTTTGCCTTATGAAGTATTTCGATCAAAAGTTGATTACTATCAAAACAGTTGTTAGTTAAAGTTGAAGTTACTTTTAAAAGTAAGACATATACTGTCGCAGACATGTTTTATATCATTTAAATGATTTATTGATTTTTTCTAGGATTTTGAGTATCTTGAACCGTACTCGCAGCGAACTCAACCCTTAAAGACTTTTCCCGTTTCTTCCACATTTCTTTCTGTTTCTTCTATTGGTCACATCGTGATGATTAAAAACCTGACGCCGTCCTCGATAAAGGATCCAAACAACACAAATATTTTTTAAATTTAAACCTGGGATCAACAAACAAACAAACTCTTCAGCTTTGTTACATTAGTATAGATAATGATAAGTTAGACTGTATCATTGGCTATTTGTCCTTCTGTTAAGCTTCTAAGAAAAGTATAAAAATGCTTAACTGTAATGCAGTTAGTCTTTACACTCGATTGATATTTTCAAACGTCATTTTTCGTCATCAGGCTTGAAAAATGACGAAAAGCGAACTCCAGCAAGATGATGGAAAGGTCTTGAATTTCGACCATCTTACATTTTGGGTCGCGAATGCTACAACGGTAAGATTTTGCTTCGGTAATAGATTTAATATTAGATTATTAAAAATCTATTTTGGCTAAAAAAATACGACATGGACAGGACTTGCATCCACAGGATTTCGCGCTGTTGCTTTAATTGAGCTACCGTGTCCTATACACGTCATCGTCAAATTTTTATTCCAACCTATCGATATATGCACCTCTCTCAGATTTAATATTTACACATTCGTATTGTCTGTAGTTACCGCAAGTGCTATTTATTAAATAAAAAAAACTACTAATGGTCTAAAACGTGATATATTTCCAGTTTTTGTTTTATATCATTTAATGTAGGTATTGTGTATTAATTCCAGGCATCTACATATTTTGTTACACGATTCGGTTTTAAACCATTAGCTGAGAAAGAGGCGTCAGAAAGTAACCCTATTCATTCTCGTGTTGTACAACTTAATAAGGCAAGTAAAAAATTGTTTAGTAAAAAAATCACAGAAAGTGTAGTCCCTCTACCAGTTCATACAAATGAGATTCAAGCTTCCTATAGCTTTAGGCCTATCTTTTGTAATCTATTATACCACGCTGGCTAATATACGTGCCAGTAAATGTCAAATTTTGCTTCCTGTTGGTTTCTTTACGGTGCTTCCCTGTCACGAAAAGCAAATCTAAGAACGTACAATACAAAAATATTATGACCTTCGAGATTTCGATCTGCAGATGAATACACATAATACTGACTTGGGTCTGAAAGTTTTAATGTTCTAACTGCCGCCCATAAAAATTTTGAATACTCCAATAATATCCTATAACAGTTGTCTTAACACTCCCTCTTACACAATTTACAGATAACAATAATCTTTCAATCACCAACATCAAGTGATGATGAGATCGCTAAAGAAATAGCAGCGCATGGCGATTTCGTGAAAGATGTTGCTTTCGAAGTCAACAATTTGGAGGAGATCGTTAAGAGAGCTAAAAGTCAAGGTGCTTTTATCGTGAAGGATATTACAGAAGAAGAAGATGATAATGGTTCTATTAAATCGGCCATATTAAAGACGGTAACGGTTGCTTTAACACAACTGATGTTTAATTCAAACTATGTAACTACCACTAATTCGATAATTCTATTTAATCTATACTAAGATAAAAATCTGAAGATTTGTTTGTTTGAACGCGCCAATCCTAGGAACTACTAGTTCGAATTGAAAAAATATTTTTGTTTTGGTTAAAGGTCTTGGTTATCGTGGAAGGCCATAAAAGACGCGCTGCAACTAAATAAGGACGAAAAAAACAGCGGGAAATTTGGACAAAACGGGGGAAATTATTATATTTTTGTCTGTGGGTTTACGTTGCGCACGCTGCATTTCAAGATATTCCAACATAAAATATACGAAACATTCCCCTTTTAATCTATCTTTTAAGATAACTGTGCCAGATACGACGGGACTCTGTCTACGTCGAGGATAACACTTGCAAGTTAACAACGATGAAGAAAAAGTTTAAAAAACAAATTTGGATGCCCAAAATAACTATTCTTCGCGGACGACGTCGCTAACGCAGCTAGTAGAAGATATTTTCAATATTGACGAAGAAATTATGGTGAAACAATTTATTAAATGTAAAATAATTTTTCAGTATGGCGACAACACTCACACCCTAATAGACCGATCAAAATACAAAGGAGTATTTCTTCCTGGTTACACCATTACTAATGATGAAGACCCGTTGAATAAGCTTCTGTATGTATTTACTAGACTTTAATCAGAATCAAGTATTAAGGGGGCAGGAATATCCAAATTCCGACCGGGTCAAAAACCACCGTCCACAGATGAGCCAAGAAGTTTAATCGCGATGGGGCTTCAGTCTATGGATTTCCAAATATCCAAAGCTAAAATTGGTCGACAATACGTCCTGTTTGGATATTATATGGCTGGGGTAGGGGCATTAGGCCTACCACCAAGTAAACTTTATCTTTGGTTGTTCTCGTCTATCATGAAAAAAAACTGTCATCTAACTAATATACCCTTTTAAGACTCCTAAAAACTTGAAGTAAAAACTAATATAAAAACTTTATTTTAAACCAAGACTATATAATCTAGTATTTACTTACCTTGTACCTTTTGTCATTGTACTATAAAATACTAGGCGTCTCTCACTACCTTGCTTTCTTTCGGAAATAGACTTTGACCGCGTAGGTTCTACCATTTTAAGAGATGAGACCCAAAGGACATGGAATTTAAATAGATATTTACTAAAAAAATATATGTCCAAGAAAAAAATTAACTATAAAATTTTTAATCTACTTGCTCTCATACTTCAAATGGAAAATATGACGTTTTTATAGGCCAGAGACCAACCTGGAATACGTAGATCATGTGGAAGGAAACATGGCTGATGGAACCCTCGAAGATTCGGTTCTGTGGTATCAGAAGAATCTAAATATGCATCGGTATGTAGAAAAGAAAATATGTATAGACAAAAAACTAACTACAATACCCCTTTTAAATAAAACACTAACGAGATATATTAGTCAAACTTATTTGAATATTATTTTAACTACGGCCTGACATTCGAATGCTTTGCAGCAGCCATGGTTACGGGGAGACTCGGGGGGCGTCTCCCATTGTCAGGTCGTTTTAAGCCGTTAAAGTGTTAAATTTAAATGTGTACTACCTCTTCTTTTAAACTTAGTAATAAAATTATGTAACTAATAAAATCTCTATAACTGCGGCCGTACCTCTTGACAGTATATTGTAGCTTAAATTTAACTTACTAGTATTCCATTGCAGCTTCTGGTGTGTAGATTATCTACACGATTTGGTTCCGTATTCCTGTATCAATTCGGCATCTGTTATCAACCAATCAGAAACCGTGCTTGTAAGTTTTCAATCTACTAAGAATATTATTTATCATACTAAGGAATTGCTCAATTATTAAGTGAGCGAGAAGGGGTTCGTACCTCTTCTGAAGGGAACCTCTTCTCGCTCACGCGGGCCGAACAGCCCGAAAGACAATGGTATGCTGAACGATGGCCGTGAAAGCCTTACACAATTTATTTATATTTAACTTTTACGTAAATGTAAGTGACCGGTAAAATTCAATATATAGTACTATGTACAGATCCAGATCATTTTTATTTAACGTACATAAGACATGATTATAGGTTAAAAATCTTAATAAGTACGACCTTTAATAATTACTTATAATTTTTAGAATGGGCCTGGCCACTTTTAAAGTGATATCTCGTTTGACCCGTGGGGCATGGGGCGAACACATTTCTGTGTCGGTTTCACTGTTCGGTCTTTTATTTACAGACATGTCGATCAAGCTTATCTGCCCTGCCTGACCGTGTTTCAGTTTGTCTATGTATTGTTTTCCCGGGATTCGAATCTAATTTAATGCTAGCCAACGGCGGCGGGCGGTCAGCATGTTGGGTACTGTTAATTACGAGTTTAACTCCCGACCGTATCAAAGATTTTGTGTTTTTAAATATTCGCTTCTCTGTTATAATTTAACAATTTTTAGCTATCATTGAACGAAGCAGCGAAAGGTCTTCGTCCTTCGAGCAAAGCCAGCGAATTTGTAAAAGCCTTGGGAACGTCTGGAGTGGAACATGTAGCCTTGTACACAGATGACATAGTGGAAACAGTGAGTATATAGTAGTTTATTAGTGACAAATTACATATTATCTATAGTAAAGCTGAAAAGTTTGTTTGTTTGAACGCACGAATCTGAGGAACTACTAGCTCGAATTGAAAAAGGTTTTAGGCTATAAAACATCACGATGCGACCAAAAGGAGCAAAAAAAAGTGGGAAATGTAAAAAAAAATGGAAATAAAATCATCTTTGAGCGTTTCCGTGCGTTGCGTGAGCTGCGAAAAAATTCAAGATACCCAAAAATAATGTATGAGAGAATGATTCCTTTTTAGATTTTAAGATTAACTTGCAACGGAATCGAACAATGGGTCACGAGCGACGGGACGCGACCGCCGTCGTGGGCAACTTAAATTTATAAAGATTTTTTGAAGAAGTAGTTTGCAAAAACAAATTTGAATGCCAAAAATAACTTATAATAGAATAGTGACCATGGTTTAACTGTTACACGCGTTGCATTAAGCAACTTCCAAGTTTCCCGAGAAACATGACAATTTCACAAGTCATATAATGGTCTCACCAGTATTGTATTTTATAGTTTATTTTTTCTAACTTGACTAAAGACCACAATAAATATGGCCGATTTCATACCATAGAGTGCCATAGAGCAGACCTTTTATAGAGTGCGGTTGTTGCCACAGATGACACAGGGATAAAGAAACAAGATTTCATGTAAATTGTCAGTTTGTTTAACAAATGCCAATTTGCCAATTTAGAAAAAACATATGATATAAATAGAGCTTAGATTATATTAGAATTTATACAGATTTATAATTTTGACTTCTACAGATGAAAAATCTAAAAGCCCGTGGTGCAGAGATCGTCACATGGCCAGCAACGTATTACGATATTATACAAGAGAAACTGAACAAAAGTTCGGTAAAGGTTAAAGAAACCATTGATGACCTAAAAGAACAGAACATTCTCATAGACTTTGATGAAAGAGGTTATATGCTACAAGCGTTCACTAAGCACGTCCAATCGCGGCCTACACTCTTTCTGGAAATCATACAACGGAGAAACCATAGAGTAAGAAATATCTATACATGTACTAATATTACAAAAAAATACGACACGGGCGGGACTTAAACCGCTCCTCTGCGTTCCGTGCTGCTTTAAACAATGCTTGCTAGTATTATTATTTTAACCAAAAAACGATATTTAATTCATATAATACCATCAAGTGAAAAATATTAAAGTTTTCAAACGTTAGACTCTGTATTTTCATCTTAAATGATTTTCTTAAGCGTAAACTGTAAAGCATACGACATTGAACCTTGTTGATATTACATTGGGCTAGAGGTGTATGTATAGGTTGAAAACATTCGCGAAGACGTCTAGAACACGGTAGCTCATTTGGTTAAATTAACAGCACGGAATACTACTGATGCCTGTTCAAGTCCCGTCCCTGTCGTATTTTTTAAAATCTAAAATCGATTTTAAATCGTATATTAATATTACAAAGTCCTAAAAGATCGTATATTTAAGCCACACCTGTAAAATATTAATAATTTCAAAAGAAATATTATCTTTCTTTCTATTACTTTATAAAAAAAATACAATTGTTAAAGTAATAAAACAGAAATGCTAGTGTTCTAATCAAACCTCCTATTTTTGATATAGAGATAACTTATGATTCAAAATACATACGTCTTCGTGCATGTGTATGCAATCCAGTGCCGGACTTAAATCCTCTCATATTAATCTTAAATCAGATGCGTATTCTGAGTTTCGTCAAAGATATTTTTAATAAATGTAACACATTTCAGGGTTTCGGCGCAATGAATTACAAATGGGTATTCGAAGCAATTGAGCAACTCACTGAAACTAAGGAAAACACTAAGGAATAAAATTAACTTTCTTTTCGATATAAATTTAACTTTCACCAAGTTATGTACGTACATTATACTTAAATAAGTATTATACAATTTAAAATACTAATTAATATCTTGTAATTTATGTTTCTAACCCCGAACTCATGCTTTAAGCCACTAGTAAATAAATGTTCTCAATATAAAATGTAAGCTACAACCGATTTTTAATTGATTATAAACATTAAATACTTTTTAATTCGACATTTGTCTTTATTATATAGGATAGACCAAGAATTAAAAAATATAATTTTTATATTAAATAAACAATTATTACAAAATGTTGTGCAATAATACTATGAAAATACTAGTTTTACATAATATATACCTATATAACATACCCTGCTGTAAATAACAAGCGGATCTGAATGCCAACGTGGGGTGGAGACGACGATGCGATTGAAATATTTACAAGAAATTGTTTTACCTATTATAATATACATTACACTTATAATAAAAACTAAATTACTACAATAAGAAATTTAGTACAAAAATTACTTATTAAACTACAAAAAATTACCGTATTATTAACGCTGCAATTTTGAAAACACGCTGTATGAGAACATAGATGTTCTGCCCAAGACCGCGTTAATAAGTTTCTAGGCAACGTTTTTAAGTGGTTTTAAGATAACTTTTGTAATAAAAAACAATAACTTTATTTTTAATTATGATTTATTTATTTATAAACACATTCTACCATCATAGAGTATGCACATTGCGATAGAATTCTCACATTATTGCTTAAATATTTGCTACAAATAACATATCACATAGAGTTTATTTTTTGTTAATTCGCCCAATAAGCTTAAGTAACGACTTTAAAAGTAAGACTAATGTTTAATCGGGAATTCAAAAATGGAAGTAAAAATTTCTATTTTCCCTCTCAGAAACTATAAAAGTGTGAAAGATTAGTAAGGCTGTTTACTCTGCTTACAAATAAGTTTAAACCGATGTAAACAAATAAAATTGAGGTTACTATGTTTGCTATGCAACATAGGAAACTATCTACGCTATGACGCTACGCTTCCCCGCTTCTGTTCTTAGCTTGTTGATCAATACAAGTTTCAAGTCATTTACATATTGTTTATAGGAATCCACAGTTGAAATGTTAGGAGTTCGCCACAATGAAATCGACTTGTGTTTTTAAAATATGTTTGGCTAAATTTACTTTTCTAAGGTCCAGAGTTGGACTCCTAGTAAGCATAGAAGGCTTTAAAAGAAAAAGTCTTATACTATGTTAAATTATATAATTATAATAATGCTTAATTTTTCATAATGTCATTATCTCCTTCTTAAAATTACACATAAACTACACCGATTGTGAACGCTGCGCGACTGTTTTAAAAGTTGCACTGTGCTTTGTAGGCTTGCCTACTCCAGACCGCAACCGGTATTTTCTCGTATTCCTTGACTAAAAACAAGCTGCCATCAAAAGGTTATATTCACATTGATGATTTGGCTAGATCTCTGTTATTTTAATAGACCATTCGCAAGAAGCTCCATCAACGCCTTCTAAAGAAGGGTTTATTAGAAGGTCACAAAAAATACTTCCTTACTTACTCCTTACTCCATAGCGACCCATAGTGGGTCTTGGCCTCCACAACAAGAGAACGCCATTTCCGCCGATCCTGCGTCATGGTTCGCCACTCGGAGACACCGAGTTCCTCCAGGTCAAGCTCAACGGCGTTTTGTCAGCGGTATCTGGACCGGCCAACAGATCGACGGACATCCGGGATTCCGAGATACGCCTTCTTACAAATAATGGTGACTCTGAATTTCACATTTTCTTCGTTAAACTTTTAATTAGTTTTAACAAACGTTTGACGCGACAATAATTATTATTACACTTAAATTTTTAATATAAATAAATAGTGTATAAACATGGCAATTTAATGTTATTAATAACAAAATCTATGGATTTGAATTAATATCTTTTTAAATATGAATTAATAATTAACTGTAAGTTTATTTTTTTTTATTTTGTGGCGGTTCTTTCTAACTACGTGATCATTTTAATATTGTAAACGGTTAAAATACAATACCAAAACCTGTGAAACACCCGTAATCCGCAAATCCTGTCATTTTAATAATTTTTTAAGTCAAATTCCGAAAATTAAAATTGTATAGTGACGAAATCCTTTCAAAACTAAAATGAAGTGTTAAACACACTTATCTCAGTTTTGGCAAAGGCATTTATGAAAGGGCAAAATTACCACTTTTTAACAGTTACACTTTTTGCTAAGTAAACAATATAGGACAAATGCACTAAATTCTGTCTCTATTTTAAGGCTAAAATAGTATTATTGAGTTAAATATAAAACTACAGTTAGCTTTGAGTTAAATACGGTCAATAAATACGCGAGTGTAAATTAAATAAAACGCTGTCAATTCCTGCCTGAGTCGAAATTTTTTTCATTTATTTTCGGTTTTTACTAACGCGTATGTTATATATTCAGTAAATCGTAAGTTATTTTAAATTTTTAATTATACTCTAACTATTCACGAATGGACTAAGACAAAAAACATAAAATTATTCGCGTTATTTGTATAAAACTTCACATTTAAATAAAATAAAGTCGTTTTATTAAATACCCATGTCAGTCTGTGTGAACAAGTCTTTATAAACACGTTGACTTAATAAATTCGTTATTGGTATTTATACCCGATTTCTGTAACAAATATAAGATTGTTTTCTAGAATATTTTAGTTTAGTTCAAACGCGAGTTAAAGACGCACATATTACTTGAAGAATATTTATTTTAATATAGAAGGATAAATACATATAAGAAAAATGGTAAGGGCTTTTATTTAAAAAGTGAATTTAGGAAAATAATATGATTGTTTCTATAGAATGTCCGTGACGAATATTTATAATTAAAGTTAATAAATCAGAGTAAAACTTTCTTTTCTAAAATGAAATAACGAATGAATGGAATTAAGAATCTAGCCAGTGTTGATATTGAGTTTTTCATAATTATAGTAGAGGTACTATAACAAATGAAACCTAGAGCATAAGGGAAAGCGCTTTCGTTAAAGGAACAATATAATTTATTTATATTGTTGTTGATTTGTTATATTTAACATGTATGAATTAAGAGAACCTAACTAGGTAATGTCAGACAAAGTTATCCAATTAATCATTCTCAATGTGGGTAAACCTAGAGCGTTAAGCTTACAGCGTTTAAGCACTTTCGTTAAACGTTTTGCTTACTGATTGCGTTAGAGGTCCGGGTTGAACCGGGAAACGATAGTTTGTTTATGACAAGGCCGATCAGTCGTACAGATACAGAAATGTGTTCGCCCCATGTCCAGTGGGATTTCCCTTTTAACATTATAATTTTTACCTCTATTCAAAAGAAGGTTTGGTTTTTAACAAAATTTACTCTTTTTTTATATAGACCTCTTATACGGATAAAGGGAGAAAACCAGAAAATGGCCGCTTCCTTTCATTCCACCACATAACCTATTGGGTCTCCAACGCGAAACAAGTAAGTTTTTACATATGTCCTACAGTTGGGAAGTTCGCCCCCTCTTTTTTAGCTCACAATTCTGCTTTAGTGCGACGAAGACTTACCGTGATTTTGGCACTTTCTTTTAAACTACGGGCCGGTATATATACTTTTTTTAATGATGATGTTGAATCGTACTACCACCTCCTCGGAGACAATAGCCGCCCGGAACCACCAAACACACCACCAGCCCGCTACGGTGCTTTGGTATATATATGCCTAATATTCTAAAATAAATGTAACTACGCTACTCGTGCGAACTATTAGGCGTACCCATTATGAAGTAATCTTGTCTTTTGTTAATTAGGCACAGTTGCGTTGCTAGGACAAAAAATGTATTAGGTTTTATTCCTATTTCCTCAATATATTTTCAACAGCTAACGCAGTTTACGCGAGTAGTATACATTTAAATGAAAACATTAAACGGTTAAAAGCGAGAAATGTTTTAGTTAAACTAATTTAACTATGGCCCGACGTTTCGGATGCAGCAATCATGGTCACAGGGGGACTGAAGATGAACGGTGTCTCTAATGTCCAAATCAAATCTGTTACGCTAGTGCCGTCTCTTTTATTATTGGTTAATATTTGATGTTGGTTGGTTTCTCGTTTTAAACCGTTAACAGTGTTTTATTTATATTATTATCACTAAATTTTAATTTTATCCGCACAGCCATGTTTTAAATAAACTGAGCTATCATTTGTTTTATTTTTTTTTTATTATTTCAGGCGGCCAGTTACTACGTCACCAGATTTGGTTTTCAACCTTTGGGTTATCAGGGACTAGAGACAGGCTCGAGAAAGATCACCTCACACGCAGTACAGTTAAATAAGGTACTTGTAGAAAATTACTTGCGACAAATAGTAGCGAAGGAATGTGGGAAATGTGGAAAAAACGGGGAAAATTATTCATATTTCTCGGTCACCTCTGCGTTTATGAACGCCTCTGTACCCTTATAGTACAGAGTAATGCCTACCATTGCGTTAAGCACGAGAGGTTCTGGGTTCGAATACCAGGGAAACAAAAAATTGTTTCGGTCGGGCAGGGCACAGAAGTCTGATCAACTACTTGCAACTGTAAAAAAACGCATCAATGAAACGGACACAAACTTCGTCTAGTCTGGATATTAAATGGATGGTTGGAATATCGACATTCCATCCGGGCCAGGAACCACCGCCCACAGATGAAAAAGCTAAGAAGTTTAATCGCGTTTCGGTTTCAGTCTGTTGTTTTCCGAATATCCAAACCCTAAAATAGGTCGATAGGGCATCTTGATTTGATGTTATATGGCTGGGGTGCATCACCTACCATCAAGTGAATATCATACATTGTCTGTGTTTTCTATCTAATAGAATTTTTAACGTTTTTGTGTCTTTAGCTTGAAAGATTTACCAATCAAAACATTTACCAAATCCGATTTCCGTTGTTGCTTTATATTAGTCTGATTTGTAAGTTTATACAAATATAACTTAAGATAAATAAATGATTTAAGTATTAAAACAAAGTCATACGTAGCTATTACATTGATAATATTTATTTAAACACTAGCTGTGCCCGATCTCCGCGTGGAATAGTGACTTGGGGTAGTAGAATTTTTAATTATGTAGGCTGCTTATATTTATGTAAGGGCGCATTTAGGGCAGCCAATCTATGTTGTATGTGCTACTTTGCCGCAACACTCTCACCTCAGATCACTCCTACTCTAACTCCGACTCTCATTCCTACACTCACTCTCACTCCCAGTCTCCAGTCCCACTCCCACTCCCAAAAACCAAAGAAGAAAGTTTCATGGTTCTAGCTTCAAAACCCACGAATTTCCATACAAACTTTCATCCCCTTTTTCAACCCCTACAAACCCCTATTTGGCATTAAAAATATGCCTGTCTTTTCTCAAGCTCTAAAATATATATGTACCATTTTATTGAAAACAGTTCAGTAGTTTCGGAGTTAAAGCCGGACAGACAGACAGAGTTACTTTCGCATTTATAATATTATTAAAATCACATCACACAGTTTGATTTTTTCGGCATTCCTATCAATTTGTTAAAAGTAAATAATTAGTTATAGTGACGTAACTACAATAGTTAGACATATGGTCTCACGATGTTTTTTGTAGATATTGATATATTCTATTATATTGTCCAATATTTTTTTGTCCTATCATTAATACTCTTCACAGCGTATGCGATGAAAGACATATTTTTATAATTAATTTTTTTACACCTTTGGTTGGTTTTAATAGAAATTTCTAAAGATTTCTACCGTAATCTAGTACTAAGTATAGTCTATTTTACTAAATGATAATGTAGCTGTCTAATGAAAAAAGAATTATTAAAATCGGTCCAGTACTTTCTGAGTTTATCCGTTACATACAAAAATACAAATCATTCCTCTTTATAATATTAGTGTAGATAGCTGATAGGTGTTACCCGCGATATTCGTATGACGTATTCCGTCATACGCGTCCCGTCGTTCGGGTCGTTCAGGTCGTTCTTGCAAGTTAATCTTGAAAGATAGACCTATAACGTCGTGGACTTTTTTTATATCGTTTAACGGGGAATCATTCTTTCATACACAATTTTTAGGAATCTCGAACCGTTTTCGCAACGTACGCATCTGAAACCTACAGAGATGAAAAAATTCCCCCATTTTATTCACATTTATCGCTGTATCTTCGCTCCTATTAGTCACATCGCAAACTGTTAAGAATTTTTCAATTCGAACCTGTACTTCCTGAGATTAGCGCGTTCAAACAAACAAACTCTTCAGCTTTATATATTAGTGTAGATTGAATCAACATAAACCTGACTGACAAATTCTTTGTTGCGGTAACATTCTTTAAGACGAAATAAAACACTATTACTACTACTACTAAACAAGATATATATTTATTGACTTATTTAAAGTATGACCCGACATTTCAGCCCTTTTCTTTTCTAGATAATCTTCGTGTTTCAAGCCCAATACGAGCCAGAGGAAACAGAGTTCGTCAACGAAGTGGCTTATCATGGTGATTTCGTTAAGGATGTGGCTTTCGAAGTAGAAAACCTGGACTACATCGTTGGATACGCGAAGAAACAGGGCGCAGTGGTGGTTAAAGATATATGGGAAGAAAGGGACGAGTCTGGGGTTGTGCGAATGGCTACTTTGAAAACGGTATTTATATCCAAACGTTTCCAAAAATGGGATTTCGATTGATTTTTTTTACGCCGTGGCCTCTATTGTGGACTAAATACGTTATTATACAGATTGATAAAACATTGGCATCTCGTTTGTGAAATCCTGTACCAATGTCTGTACAACTAAAAGTAAAGGTGAAAAGGATTTAAATAAAACACTGTTAACGGTTTAAAACGCGAAATTATTATCCAAATTTATTTAAGCAACTAAAGACGGTGAGGTAAGTATAAACTATTTTTGTCATAAAAAACTAAAGAGCTGTGTGAAACGTAATTAAAGTTTAAACCTGTTTAAAAGTTTCGAACAAGGAAATCGTTCTAACTAAAAATAAAATTATGATTTACATAATATGTCAGAGGTTAAAAACAATATATACGGTTATACTACCCTACCCTTGATAGGAAAATTTATATTAAACTAATTTATTACAGTACGGAGACAATACGCACACCCTCATAGACAGAACCAAATATAGGGGTACATTTTTGCCTGGTTATCAATCTCTGAGTAACGACCCGATTCAAAAGTTCTTGTAAGTATATTGGGTATATTTTATATATAGTGCACATTTTCTTTGGTTTGATATTTATATAAGAATGGGATGTAAGCAAAGCACGATCGCTTAAAAGCTTAACAAACATCGAGTTAAATAATAATGACATAATAAGTTTGTAAAAAATGGTCGCCATAATTTTTGAAATATTAAAGTCGTCGTTTGATGGTTTGGTATATATAATCGATATTTCTTTGATCCTGTGTCATCTGTGGCAACAACTTCACTCTATGGTTTTAAGTCGGCCATTTTTGATGTTATTTTTTGCCAAGTTATTACCCGCGTAGCCTAGGATTACATTAGACATGGCCTGGTTTCGAATCCTAGGGAAACGATAACGTCAAATGAATTACCTAAATGTTTGTAAAATGCACGAGAACGAAAAACGGAATTTTATTCTTCACTGTCATTTCATTTTTGAAGAAAATTGTAACTAATCTGTTTTTTCCAGACCTAAAATTGAAATAAACTTTATCGACCACGTAGTGGGAAATCAGCCAGACAGAGAAATGGAACCTGCTGCATCGTGGTACGAAAGATGTCTGCAATTTCACAGGTAAAAGATAAAGTATTCCTTATTAGCGTTCTCATTATTTCTGGCTGTCACTCTAAGTGTCATCCATGGGGCAACACTGATAATCGGCGCTGCCAACAGTTGAGTAATGTCCTTCCCCAGTTAGCGTTAGTTGCGTCAAGCGCGAAATACCAGGTTCGAATACCAGGAAAACCATGGATTGTGTAAGTATACGGGGCACATAAGTCTGATCAACCACTTACCTGTAAAAGGAGTGATCAGTTTTTTGTATGAAAGAGGAGGACAGACAAGCATAGTTCACTTGATGGTAGGTGAAATACTTCAGCCATAAAACATCGAAAGAAAATCTGCTGTCGACCTATTTTTGCTTTAGATATTCGGAAATTCACTGACTGAAACCGAAACGCGATTATACTTCGCAGATTTTTCATCTGTAAACTGTGGTTCGTCGAACGGTATTTCGATTCATACCACCCATTTTGTATCCAGAAACGGACACAGAGATGTGTTCGCTCAATGCCCCAATGCGTGATACGGGATTTCATTATATAATCTAATTATGTTAGGAAGAAAAACTACTTAATGAATTATATAATTATTCTGGCCATGGACATTTGTTCTTGTTCTTTTCGAACTTTTACAGGTTTTGGTCCGTAGATGACTCCCAGATTTGTACCGAATACTCAGCGCTACGTTCAATAGTGATGGCTAACTGGGAGGAAACCGTCAAAATGCCTATCAATGAACCAGCAGCTGGAAAGAAGAAGAGTCAGATCCAAGAGTACGTTGAGTATCATGGCGGCGCAGGTGTCCAGCATATCGCGTTAAATACGGAAGATATTATAACTGCGGTAAGGATTATTATAATTGCTTTGGGTGCATCACAATTAACAGTACTACCGCACTTTGCTGCTGCTGGTGGTATTTTCTTAACTGGTTTCCTTTAGAAACTCGTCGGAATCTCCCATCTGCTTCATCTCTTCAACAGTTTCCTTTATGATCCCAAAACTCTTTCTTAACTAAAAGGGAAATCCTCTTATTTGTTCTTAAACATAAAAGATCTTTCTTTAATAATCCTGCCACTAATATCAGAAAAGCTTCTGTTCTTTTAAGACTTTGCTTTACAAGTTTTACTTCTCCAACTCTCTTCTTTCTCTCTCTTTTAAGGTGTTTTTCTCTTATATTTTTTTATTTTGTGGTATGTGTGTATAGTAATAGAGCTGTACTAAAATAAATAATAAATATGTACCAATTTTTAGATCGAAAATCTACGAGCGCGCGGCGTCGAATTCTTATCTATTCCATCCGTGTACTACAAGATCATCAAAGAGCGGCTACAGAACAGCAAAGTCAGGGTAGCGGAGAGCATAGATGAATTAGAACGTCTCAATATCCTCATTGACTATGATGATGATGGTTATTTGCTTCAAATCTTCACGAAGAACACTCAAGATAGGCCGACACTCTTCTTGGAAGTGATTCAGAGAAGAAACCATAATGTGAGTAAAATCTACAAACAAATACTATCTTATGACAAAAAATTCCTACATTTCTTTCTGAATGATTTTTCTAAATACATAACCGGTATTACATTACATACCTCTGAAAACCAACCAAGAAAAGATTTCCCAAATTCAATTTCGACTAATATATAATTATATAACTTTAGCTCCTATAATATAAATATAACTAATATGGAATATTTTTTTTACACATTTTTGACACTGCTCCACATATCAGACAAAAGAATGCAATAAAATAAAATTATTGGCTCGCTAGAAAGCTGTAAAAAAGAACTAAATGGTCCCCAAGACTTTCTCTACGGATTTGCCCATACTGTCTGAGTAACACACTCCATAATACCTATTTGTTTTTAATTTAACAGGGATTCGGCGCCGGAAACTTCAAAACATTATTCGAGTCGATAGAATACGAACAAGAAAGACGTGGAAATCTATAATTCTCAATTAACTTAGTATTTCTGTATATAAGAACTTGTTAAATAAAACGTGTTTTTATTAAATGTCATTTTATTGGATCAAAGCTGTTTGATCAATACATATTAACACGAATAGATCTTGATACTAGAGAGAATTATATACAAACACGATTATATTGAGTGCAACACTAAGTCCAAACAATTTAGTATGCTTGTGGAACATACAATATAAAAATACAAACTCATATAATATGATATGCTAGTTAAAGAAAATGAGAAAAAAAGATATGTATACAGAACAACATAGTTTCGTCAAGACGTAGAAAATAATAAAATTTCAATATATAAGTAGCGGCACGGATCTTTAGCGCTGAACGAATCCTGCGCAGGAGTCAAAAATAAGGTATAGAAGGGACGGAAGCGAGCGCGGCGCGAGTGAACGTCATGTGCGCTAGCGTCGATTCGTTCCCCAGTCGTGTCGTCTCTCTCGGACTAATACGACGCTCCGCTTGCTTCTCGAGTACAGTCACGTTTTCCAATAAATTACGTGAGCGATTGTACAGATGCGCAACTATCCCCTCTAACTTCGTTCAACGCTAAACATCCGTGCCGCGAATAGGTCGCTACTACGTTTTTAAGAAAGATGATTTCGTTAAGTTTCAGATAATATTGAACTCAACGTTAAAAGCATAAGATTTATCGAAGAAAATTGATTAAGTAAAATACTTTGCATTTTTGCAATCGCATAAAAACAGCACCAAAATCATCATAATTGATACACAACAATATAAAGATGCAAAAATAATTCGTTACAAGTTTCTTTAAAGTAGATTTCAATTTGAACAATATAAAAATATCAGGTCATACTTTTATATCAAATGCGAAAGTAACAATTGAATAAACAATTATAAATTCAAACTAGAAATTGAAGATTGTCAGAGCTATTCAACTAATGTACCAGACATATTGTAGTGCCTATTATCGGAAACAGACACACATGTACCGGAAAAGAATTTATATTTTGCTATAGGCAAGCAGATAAGAAACGTAAAAAGACAGACATACAGCTTGCATCAATTTCGATTTTTTTATAACGGCTATCGTTGTGTAAACGTCGTTTAAAAACGAATCGCTTATAGCAGACGATTATTATAGACAGTTATAAAAAATGCAAGTGTATATTTTTTACCTGCTTAGCCATGCTGTTTGACTGGAAACAGAAGAGCTCACGCACACCAGATTATGTCCAGACACGCATAGACAACAGAGCAATTATCTCCTAATGTGCGGTGCGTTAGGCTTTGGTCTCATATAAATGCATTAGTACAGCTTTAGAATCGACATAACTAGAGCTTTAAAACTAGATAGTCGATGAAAGAGACAACAACACTTCTATATAGTCTGTAGTTTACGCGGGTAGTACACATAAATAAAACATATTATCGGTTTAAAACGCAATATATATCAGTTAATCAATCAATCAGTTAAAATGTTTGAACTATTTCAAATAAGCTTATCTAATATGTATCGCGTTTTAAACAGTTAGTGTTTATTTAGTTTGAAGTACATTACTATCTCACATCGAAAATTTCGACTACCTTCTTCGCTGTGCCTACTGCGTTTATAGGAGACCGCACCCTTAAATATGCCTCCATAGACAAATAAAATATTAAATTAATTGATTTATTTAATACTATCGCTTTAAACAGTGTTAGAATGTCTAAGTGCGCGTCTCCTCTAAGTCAGCCGTTTCTACGATTTCAAAGTCCCTGTCTGTAGATGACCGCTGGCTGTTGTCTGTGTCTGATTCTGAATGTTTCTCCGCTACTTGCTGAGCCGTTTCGGTCTCTGGCGGCTCCTCTCTGTAAGGATGCAAACACACATGTTTTTAACAATAGTTTGAGTAGAGACTACCTGAATGGATTTTGATAAATGTAAAAAATTTTAACTGGTTAAAATTCCAAATGTAATAGTAACTTATAAATGTATTTTATCTAAGACCAGACTTTACGGATGCTCTACAACAGCAATGTTTTAAACCGGCAAGTGTTTTATTTAAAAAGCAATGTACGTAAGTGTTAAGGTCGAAATTGTACGAGAGGTACATGTATTAATACGTTGTAGAAATTCGACGACAAAGTGTGAGACACGGCTCATTTCGTTAGAGCAACAGCACGAAACGCTGTGGATGCCGTTTTAAGTCCCGACCGTGTCGTCAAATTTTAGCAAGCAAAGCATCTTTAATGTAGTCCCTTATTTACAATTTTAACTTTTATTATTATTTTCAAATAACTATAATAACTTTTAACGTTTTAGAAGTCGCGGGCTCAGCTAGTACACTTATAAATGATGATGTTCCTAAAATCTTATTTACTCACTTCAAATCCCCACTATCCGCTTGCTCAATGACGGGCTCGCTAACCTCTTGCCGCGTCTCCGCCTGCACCAGCGGGCTCTTCTCCTCCGCTTCGTCGTCTGACTGCTTCTCTTTCTTGCGTTTCTTCTTACTCTTCTTGTCGCTCTCTGATCCGGGGCCGCGGTATTCGTACTAAAAATTCATTATTCTCATTGTAACTGCACTGTCTGTTTGTATTACGTGAAAATCTTTTTAAGTTAGACAAGCGGGAGGTTTAATTGATGGAAAGTGAAATATAACAACCAAACAAAAAAAATTAGGTTGACAGCGTGACTTACAATGTTTTTTTGACATGGCTTTGGACATTCAAATAAACCACTTTAACTGTTTAAAACGCGATATATTAGTTAAACTTATTTGAAAATGATTTTTAACTTCGGCCCGACGTTTGGGATGCTTTGCAGCAGCGTGATCACGGGGAGTCATGGCTTTGGACATTCGGAAATCAGTAGGCTCAAACCGAAACGCGATTTAACTTCCAGGTTTTTCATCTGGTGTAGTTTGTAATTTGGCCTTTGATATTCCTACTACTATTATATATCAAAATGTTCGATACGATACGATACTACTATTATATATTCAAAATTTCTTCTATTGGTAATTTATATAAATTAATTTTAACATAATATACTAGTTCTAACATCGTGTTAACAATAATATTTCTTATTATATACCGTCTAAGCTAACATACCTTATACAATGGCCAGAATGAAGCGAAGAACCCCACATCTTCAGTCAGATTGGGCAAGAGCCAGAGATGGTGCCTGGTAAGGGTCAGAATCCATACGAGACAGAATACGACCACTCGCAGCACCGCCAGCACGATGATCATCACTAGGAACGCGGCGGCCGCAATACTTAAGTAGTATACACCCTTTCTGAAAACCAAAAAGTTATGGGAGACTTTTTTTAAAAGCTAAGAGTGGTAAAATATAGACATAAATGGAAGTTAGCACTTTTAACGGTTTTAAACGCGAAATATATTAGTTAAGTTTTCGCATGCTTTACAACAGCCGCGGTCACGGGGGGACTGAAGGTGAAAAGTGTCTATGATTACAAAGAAAAAGAGATACGCTAGCGCCATCTGTTCCGTAATCGGTATTAGGAAAATCTGGCTGGAAACTTGCTTACTCTATCGATGGTGTCTATCGTTTGACGTTATATTGAAAAGTATAAACAGTCATATTCCAAATACATAACATAAATAAGTTAACAAACTTCGTTTCACCATTAAAATTGTTTTATTTAAACATGAATTAGGCGCGTAAACTACACAGTTTATAAGTGGACGATGTGAAAATTTTCTTTATTTTCTATGCAGTATTATAAGCCATTCAAAGAATACAACCCGTGCCAGCGTGGAAAATTAATCATAAAATACACCCCCAACCCAAGTCCCAGCAGTGGGAAAATAAGTTCCCAATGCATATAATTGTTTTATCGAAATCTGTTACCTGACGGTAGCAGGCCACAACGGGAACATGCAGACACCGATAGTTCCGAAGACAACTAGAGCACCACAGAGCCAATAGTACCAGGGCATGGGGTCGTAGATCCAAACGTATGCGTCCAGACTGTCAAGGAACACCTGCTCTAGATGCATCTCGAGACGAATCTTGCGTTTCTTCTTCTCTTTCTCTTTGTTGTCTTTATCCTGGAATTTAGAATTAGAATTGGTTTTGTATTTATTGTATTAAGCTCGTGATACACAATTATATACTAATGTTTTAGAGCCTGAAGAGTTTTGTTTGTTGAGCTCAGGAACTACTGGTGCAAATCGAATAATTGTTTTTGTATTGATTGGACTATTAATTGAGGAAGGCTTCAGACTATAAATCAACAGGCTGCGACTATTAGCAGCGAAGAAATGGAGAAAAATGTGGAAAACTTTTTCATCTTAGAGGGTTTCCGTTGCGCTGTGAGAGCGGTTTAAGATGCACAAGAGATATGTATGAATTAATTATTATTCTTTAAATAGGCTAAAAGAATCTTTTAAGTATTACTCACAAGAACCGCTTTTATAGTAATCAAATTTGGTAGAGATGGAAAAGAACGTTTGCAGGCCCGCTAGTTAATAAAATCTTTTCTGTTATAAAGGTGTAACTTAAATTCAACAGGAAATCTTTAAATCTACTTGAAGAAATTAGAAAAGTATATTCGCGGACACCGCGGTGGGAGTTTTAAACACCTCACCTTGCTCTCAGAAGCACTGGCTTTATCACCATCCTTTTCATCTCCGCTTTTGCTTGACTTCTCTATATCCTTCTTCTTCGATTTTCCTCTTAACTCCTGTTCACTCACAGGAACCTGTAACATCATATCGTAAGGTTGATGTTGGATGGAAAGAGAAGTATGGAAATACTTTGGGTAAAACTAGGTAAATTAATTATTAATTTTTCATACGTTTTGAAACATAGTAGTGAAATCCCGTTTCCCCCTCGTGGGGCAAGGGGCGAACATATTTTTAGCATAAGAAAAGCTTTGGGTTATCTAAATCTCACAGTGTTCCTTTCAAGTCTTCCGATTTGCTTGAAATATCTTATAATTTGACCATCTAACTCTTCGATCTCACCTTCTATTATTTGATCGGTTCCCATATGTTTTTTCAAGTGTTTAGATACACAGATCTTTCCGAAATAATCAGTTTATACAGTAATACAATACCTTTTTAGCCCTGTGGAACAACTTGTGTAACAACATCTGATGCAGGAAGTCTGTTACATCGAGGCGGTTTGTGAACAGTGGGTTTTTGCCGGTTGCCCATTTTGATGTTAGCAGAGCATCGACTGCTTTTGCTCCTGTAATATTTCAATAGCATATTGGATTAAAATGTACATTGAGCATTAACGGAGGTATGAGTAGGGGGGGCATGAGGGGGGGATGAAAACAATAATTTTAAACTTTAATAGATAATAGGATATAGTTTTAAATATTTTTTGTAACTTCCATAATTGACTTGCAATTGTTTTAAAATATTAAAATAGAATGAGGTACACGCTTAAGTATTTGTTAGTTGGACAACTGTATTAGACACAGTGAAAAGTACAGCCTCTTCTATAAACAAAAAACTGCAAATACAGTGTTATAAACAACAAATATCTACTTCTACAGACAGATCTCTACGGATGGTTGATATTTTTTTCTAATAATACCTTTTAATTAAATTACATTACTTTAGCGTTAATAAAAACAATGTCAAAGTACTTGAAAGTGGGCTTACCATCTAAAATAACATTTGGCCATTATATATATCACAAATTAACATAAAGCGATATCGAAACAGCTGAACGAAACCTTTTTAATAACAATAACATTGATAACCTATTAAAAGTGATTCGTACTAATGTCACGCTAGTTTGAACTCAATTGCGAAGGGAGAAGGACTGTTTTCGAGGAAGTCAACAATCGGCACATGGATCTAGCTAATGTGGTATGACGATAGGATAATTCGCCGTGAATTCAGTGAATATAAGATTACAATGTATTACGCAACTGATTACGGTTACTTTGTTTTAATGTGATATTAGTAATTATAAAGAGAAAAAAATGTATGATTTGGGCAGGACTTGAATCGACTATGCAATTGGGCTACCGAGTGCTATGGTATTAGTATTCATAATTACTTATAGTGTCAATTATGGAATGTCATTACAATGTAAATCATATTATCTTCGTCACGATATAAGATTTTCTGTCAATATTACATCAACTATATCAAGAATTACTAGCAAAATTATAACAGAACTTTTAAAAAATCGCTTTTTAACGGTTTGAAACGCTAAATGTACTAGTTAGTACTAGGTAGTACAACGTCCCCTCGTGGCTAGAGTTGCTGAAAATCTATTCGAAGTCTAAAATACATTTAACGTTTAAAACCGTTAAAATGGTTTTATTCAAATGTATACTACTCAACAACTGTATGAATGGTGCTATTTAGCTTGCAGTAGAATTGATTTGGTAAAAAACCACGGATTATGCGATTGAGAATACAAATATGAATATTTAATTAGTTTTTAATCGAGTCGATAATTCTATTTATACATTATAGAAATTGCATTGTCTTACAATTATTTTAACCTTAACTTCAAACGTGTGATGCTCCCAAAAATGTCTCATTTGTTTCGTCCCACTAATTAACGTAAGTTATAATCCCAAATCAATTAGTATAACTCGTCCCTTAGTCCTTACTTCATTAAAAAGCTATAGGACGTTGTTTTATTATAACACTGGACACTTAACCAGAACAAGTTATTTTCAATTCGAATTCGCGGGTTATTTTGGTAGATGTCGACGACCCAAGTAGTCCTTTCCTAAATATAGCTGCATTTTATGAGACTTTTATAACTATTATTTCTTAAAACCTTTGGTTACATAAGAAATTTGCAAACGGGGCATTTTGTAAAGTTTTCAAATAAAAAGGTAACAATTTTTATACACACAGTTTTCGCAATTGGGTAAAACATTTTTTGAACTCGCGCCATGACACAGTCCAAGCCTCTAAAATCTTTAATACTGTGTTGATCCGTTGGTTACATGGCATGGCAACACAAGTCAATGAACAGGTATTTCACCCAAATATTCAAAATGTCTATAAATTAAGACGGTAAGACTAACTTTTAACGGTACAATAACGGGACTATAATAAAAATGTATTATTTGTCCGCTTCCAATTTCAACAAAGTTTTGTACCTCCAATAAAACAAACAAAAGGTTGTATTTGGGGCCTTTTATAGTTTCCCTTTGCATCTTCTTAATCTAGGTAAATTTGTTACCTAAGTACCTGCTTACTACCTGGGTTGTGTTTTTTTTATCTTCTACTTAACACTTGCACAAAAACAGTTTAATACGACTCAGGTAGAAATTTCAATACTAACAAACGAACGAACAAAACCCTCACAAAGGAGTTTGCCTCAGTATCTAAACAAAGGAAGGGAAACCCTTCTTACTACTTAGGCCTTTGAATTAGTAATGATTTGGTCATAGAAATAGATATATTTGTCACAGACATAGAAAGATTTCTTAGACGTTATCGAACATCGTCATTTTAATGATAGAGCCTACCTATTTTGGCTTTAAATATTCGGAAATCCACAGACTGAAATCGAAACCCGATTAAGCTCACGACTTTTTCATCTGCGGACGATGGTTCGCGACCCGGGCGGATTTTCTAAATTCAGATTACCAGACGAAGTCCAACACGCTTCAGAAAAATTATATAAATATTCTAAAAAAAAAAACTACTTTTATAACAGCTGTGTCAACCTCTTGTGGCAACATATACAATAAATAAAAGTATTAACATACAATTTGACTCACCAGTGAAATACTCGACGTGATGATTTAGGAATTTTGTCTTCTTTGTGGGAACGTTCGCCTTCAACCATTTCGCGACCGCGTACTCTTCACTCGTCGCTTTTTCGGACTCAGGTGGTTCACCAAACTCCTGTAACACCATTGATTTACTAAGCACCATTTTTATTAAGTTTGCTCCCACAACAAATTTTATTAAGTTTGCACACACAAAAATGCTGGTAACACCAGGTATGTTTAAAACAAATTAAATTACTACACATTTACACAATCGTTTCCACCTCTTGTAAAATCATAATTTAAATGATGTCATATCTAAATTCTCCAAAACTAAAGGCCATATTGCATGAACTTTTTTCATGGTCCATCTATACTCCAACTAGCTAAGTATAAGGATAGTTCCTTAGTGGAGTGAACGAAATGACTATTAAATTTTAAACTAAGAAAGAAATATGTTCATAAATAGCGATAATTTTAAATCTTACATTTCACATGAACTCAGGACTTCAATAGCCTAAGGCAAGTCAGTAATTCAATAGAAAATATCTAATTTTGGATTCCACAGCAATTAGGTAATATGTACAAATAGTGCATTTCGTTTACACGTAGCCCGTTTCGGCCTTGAACTTGTTCCTACGTAGAGTGCTATATGACTGTTATATAACTCAACTGCAACATTTGTTAAAATAAGCGGTAGAATTAAGAGTTTTGCTTTAATTTAGTAAATTTTAGTGCATATTTATGAAACAAAACTTACAAGCTGGCTTTTGCTCTAACACAACTGAAAATGTCGCTACTAAAGGAATTTATAAAAACATATATATTTCTTAGTCTTAAAAAGTCTCCTGCCTGTGTGTTTAAAAAGGTTGGTATAATACATTAAATTATATGCTTTTCAATTACATTAAAGAAGGAGGTTATCAATTCAATTCATTACACATTTGGACTAAATTGTACTATCAAACACAAAAGAATACAAATTATTGTGTAAACTCTATATAGCGACACTGAAGGGACTGTGCATTTTATGGCGTTATAGAGAGTTGTCGTTAAATGGAGAGAAGAAACATTGTATGAAAAACAAGCTAAACCAACCAAAGCCAATTGATTTCGACGCTTAAGAGAGTTTGTCGTTAAATAGAGTGACGTTACATGGAGTTTACACTGTATTTTACAAAAAGTGGTTTATGTACGAACCCAAACAAGTACACTAAATTATTTAGAATTATGAGGCATTCAAACTATTTGATGGATTTAATAAATTTGGTTTATTAATAATCCAAATTTATGTAAATATTTAGATTTAACTGTTGATTATGAATGGTTCATCTTTGAACTGTCGATGTCAAGAGTCAAACGAAGGTTAAAAGGGAGGGGACCCTGTTGGAGAAGGAAGCCATTTAATTAAGGGGTGCTTTTCAAACCCTTACTGAATAAATGTGTCGAAAACAACTTTTTACAACCATTATGAGACGTCACACGTCTTTTAAAGATAATTAATGCATGTAAAAACTATTTATTTTATTTTCCAAGGTTTTATAGAAAAATGTGTCTCTTAGTGTAACGTAGACTTGTCTTATAGACAATTTCTAGTAATTATTTTTATCTGTATTGCATAAGTAAAATGTATAGACGACTATAATCTAGTCAGAAGCGAAATCATTGGATTGACACTATTGGGTTTTTCTTGACTTCTCAACTTGGGAAATACCGAAATGACATAATATAAATCTTGACACGGGTATTGTAAGAAAATATATTGTTTTTATTACGATTAATTAAGAATTTGCAATGCGATTGATGATCGTTGATAAGAGAAGCGACCACAGACCCGTCAAGATGTTCGCTATATCCCCAGTTATTGAACTTGAAGGCATGAAATTTATCTTACAATAACATTATATACTTTTGGTATGGACCCTCGTCCATTTTATGCTAAAGGAAAAGATAAGCGAAAAAAAATTGCCAAAAAGATATCCTCTAATCAAAAGCTTTTGGAAAAATACATTCAGATTAAGAATTTTTATCTAAATAAACATAAAATGCCCGTTAAGAGAATTGAAGGCGATACCTATTCCAAAATTTATTTATTAAACCGTGCCCGAACAAAAAATTATCAGCGGATATCCAAAAATTATATGTGAAAAAATACACCGAAACGTTTGCCGGTTTTTCTTACCGAAGTATCTTGAAACTCGATAAAAACTCCTTTCGTAAACGTGAACTTAAATATAGGCAAACGTTTCGCTATAATCACGGAATGTCGTTAGAACCCAAAAATATACCGTTTGCGCTCTCAAAGACGTGTTCTTGTTATAAAACGCCGCGAAAAGATTCTTACAGTGCTAAACACTGTAGTCGAATCGATTTCGTTATAATTTTCATTCATAAATCAAAGGAAGCACTCACAAATTCTTCTTCCATTTTCTACACGCGGTTAACTCGTTCAAGTTCTAACAACGACTACGGCTGGTGAAAGTGGGCCGTTTGCTACCACAACATACGAAACGGGACGACATTACGGTTCTATATTATAGAGTAAGGTTTTGTATACCTCTTTGATAAGCCGTTACAATAATTTAACTCGAATCGTGCTCCTATCGGACTAATGGAGAATAGGCAGCTTACTAAGAATTTGTAAAACCAGCATAAGGAAAAGCCTTATTCAAAAATATTGCTAAATAACAAAGTCAAAATTATATAAAACATTTTGTACACATTTCCCTAGTTGAGGAATGCCGTAAAAAAGGAATTCTTTACTCGACAAACAGTCAAGTTATTTGGGCATATACAATCTATAACCCCAAATAATCCTCGAGATGCAACACTAGGTTTAACATCTAAGCATTAGTGGATAAATTAAATCATACGAATTCTCTTGATTGACTAAATATCACAACAGTAAAGTAATAAGCTTTCAGCTATTATAGAGCTACTGTAATAATTTGAATATAAGTCACGCTTGAGGTTTATTATTATAACTTTATGGTAAGAAAGATCAAGAGACTTAAATGTATGGTGTATGGCTGTGGTCTCTGGTAAATATAGTTAATACATAATGCTTTCATATTCTTCCAATCAAGCAGCCTTACCTTAGTATTTGTGTGTTGTAAGTAAAATAGCACTTGAGTATTAAACATAACACAAACATTATTTATATTATTTATTTATTTTTTATATATTATAAATATTATACTTAATGACAATGCATTACAAACTGTTATGCTTACAATTTTTTTTTATAAAGTATTATATGGAGCATGGTCTTTTTAACTTTCAAAGTCCACAATAATTTTTGTTCAATGTTTAATGCAGTCTCTTTGATACTATTCAAAATTAATCTTAAAAGTCATTTGACATTTTTCTCATCAAAATATATTATATAAGTTTGTAAATAAACTGAAAATTTAAAAGCTTACTTCTAGCACAACACGAACTAAATTGTAAATTATTAAAATAAAACTAACCTTTTTCCTCTGAAAACAAAACACAGTAAATAAGGGCATCTTGGCAAACCTAACATCACATCATCATCAAACAAAGAAAGAGCCGGAAGGATGAAAGTTATTTATAAAATTTTAAAATACCACGCCGTTTTTGAACAACTGCGCATCTTACGCCGTAAATGCATTGGAACTATTATTCAAACTAAGGCACGATGATAATCTGCGATTTGGTGTTCCATACTATTTATCACAGGCATAACTCCATATTATTCGATAAAGCGGCTAAGATAGATGTTTTCCATTTTTGCATCTTCGTAAAACAAAACGGCGATTACTTAATACCGCTCTTTTTACTTTAATTTTATTATCATCAATGTACAAAAAACAACGAAAAATAAATGTAAATTGAAGAATAACAAAAAATATGAGCCAATTACTTTTCTACAACGCAACATTTATATATTACGTACTTATATGCACACTATTTATACGGGTGATATAGAAATTTAAACATTACATACCTCTTTGCGCTTTTTAGTTTTTCTTTTTTCTGCCATTGCGAAAATTTGTATACGTAGCTATTCCTGTTGATTTTTCCGTACAAGTTACAACTCAGAACTCATGACGCTGAGACAACATTGATGATTGATCATACTTCATAGAATTTAGTTGTACATTGACGTTTGACAAAAAGTAATATGTCATATGACACTGGCATTCATTGAAATTTTCTCTGTATTGTGAGAACAGATTTATTATTTAAACAAATCTCTTCAATTTAGAAATAATCTATAAGTTTTGTCCTTTTTTTTAAGAAAAATTACGTTTTTTTCATAGTTTATATCTTCTCGTAGGAATTCCATTCCATGTATTTTTTCCCTATGAATTACACAAAAGGTATATACATGGTTTAAATTTATATGAAACACAAAAATTGTAGTGCAAATAAAAGGTATTAAAAGAATTTTAACATCTATTAAAATTTTATTATTTTGATTTATCAAAATCAAAGGACTGAAACTTGACTTAACCCGAAACCATATTCTTCATCTTCCTAATTTGCTACCTGAAACAATCAGTTTGACTGAATTTAGTTTTGACAGTAGTCTCGATTAAAGTATTGTCAATGTCAAATGCTACTTCCTATTTTTGTAATCAAATCTATGAATCAAATTGCCTAATGCCGTAATGCGGATAGCTGGTGTAAAATCTATACTATCGCAATTTTCATTACTCAATCAGTGGTTAGCGATCTCATTTTCGGTTGTGTGAATATAATTTCAGTGTGATGTAGGTCTCACGTAATTTTTAAAACAACATTAAAGTTACGCGCGGCTATAGTGAAGATAATTATAAAATAAAATAAATCGCGATTTGTGATTTGTCTGTGACGAAGACGGCTCAGCGACGGAGAGATAACTGGAAATAAATCAGTTTCATTACTAATTTTCTAAATAAAGTAAATGTTCCGAGTTATATTAGTTTTATAATAAAATATTTTACGCCAATATGAATGGTCATCAAATTAATGAAGGTATGAATTGCGATTTTACATTAACATATTTTAGGAAATAGGCTTGTTAGAATATATTTTATTAGTGGCCATGAAAAATTATCTGATTAAATTACTTCCTCATACAAATGATTGTAATTGTTCAAGGTGGATATTTAGAAAAATGACTTAATTACAATCATGCAGTTTATTAATTTAACTAGGTATTGTTATTGTATGAGAGACTCCTATTGTGTTTGATATCATACTAAAATTCAAAGAGTCTTTGTTAAAGATGTAGATAAGAAAAGATTATTTTAATTTTAAATATTCTCTATCTTAAAGTTTGTTGCTGTCATTAAATCAATTTTAATTAATAATTTGTAATATGGAATAAAAATTTAAATATGAAATCTTTTATATTTTTCAGAATTGCCAGTAGGTGTAACTGTAGAAGAAATTGAAATACCGGTTCCATGGGGCCATATAGCTGGAAGATGGTGGGGTCCCAGAAACAAACAACCTATAATAGCAATTCACGGTTGGCAAGATAATGCAGGAACTTGGGATAATCTTATTCCTATGCTTCCAGCCTCCACAGCTGTATTAGCAATTGACTTGCCTGGACATGGCTTATCATCTCACTATCCTTCTGGAATGCTCTATTATGTATTCTGGGATGGTATAGTTCTCCTTCGAAGAATTGTTAGACACTTCAAATGGCAGAAAATAAGTCTTATGGGTCATTCACTCGGTGGTGCACTCAGTTTTATGTATGCTGCTTCATTTCCCGAAGAAGTTGATAGAATTATTTGCATTGACATAGCAAGTCCAGCTGTGAGACCACCTGATAACATGGTCAAAGCTACAGGCTGGTCTATAAATAAGCTTTTAGATTATGAAAACTTGAGTGAAGACAAAATTCCATGTTATAACTATGAAGAAATGATAGATATAGTTGTTGATGCATACAAAGGATCAGTTTCTAGGGAAAATTGCAAGGTGCTTATGAAACGTGGAATGAGTCCCACACCTCCGCATATGAAGAGACAAGGCTACTTCTTCAAAAGAGATCTTAGGCTAAAAGTATCTGGTTTGGCTATGATGTCCATTGAAACAGCCTTGGAATATGCAAGCCAAGTGCGGTGCAAGGTCCTAAACATTAGAGCTATACCAGGCCAGAATTGGGAAAGATTAGATTACTATACAAAAGTGATAGATAAATTAAAACAAACGGCTGACGTAAACTATGTAGAGGTGGAGGGAACGCACCATGTCCAATTAAATGCTCCGGAAAATATATCCTCTATAATTGAAGATTTTCTGGAGGAATAAATTATTTAGAATAAGGTGAAATGTGATGCATAGCATTCCATTGTATACAAGAATTTAATTAACCTTGAAGGTTTTCGTGACGTAGTTACATAAAACAGTTTGAAATGTCCAAAATTCCATTGTCCAGGCCTGAGATTTTAAATGTTGGTTACACTGCTTTGTTGCCACCATGCTTGTGATGCTGAAACCTGTTGTGTTTGCCTGCACATAGGCACATTGCCCAAAATATTGTTGTCAACTAATGCTCTATGGACTAGTTGTTGAAATGCAACAAACTTAGGCCTGTCTGTCTGTGTCTTCATAATCGGGAGGGAATGTAGTAAGTAATAAAGTTAAACAGGGTCAGAGGAGGTTAACCTTTACGTAACCACGTTTTGCTGTATTTTATCCGTCACAGCCAACGCACTTTATTAACATGCTTTAATAGAAAAAGTTAGTACAAAAAAGTTCACAACCAAAGCCCAGTGGTTTAGCTTAATATTAGGTGTAGATAATTTTATTTATTTCTTAATAATAAGGTACATTAATGAATAATCATTATGTAAATGTGATATGTCCCAAGAGTTAGAGTCAAAATGTTGAACAATAGCCTTGTATAGTAATTTGAATGTTTCATAATGTAATCGAATGCCTCGCTGCAAGTGACTTAGGAGAGAATAAATATATGAACAAGTCTTGTGAAACTTATTTAATATAAGATTGTGATAACGTTTGCTCTATTTAATTTCTTTTTTACGTGTAAGCAAAAGGAAACAATTGCTGATTATTTGACCGATTTTATTGATTTGTCCGCCATTTTTTATTTCGCGGACTAATCTTCGTATAGTAATGTTGGCATAATTAGTACGTCAAAGAAACGAGTAGGTAAAAACTAATCCATACTTTTTATGGTGGGTAATTGAATATAGAATTAATCTCTCTCACTTAATATTCTATTCTCGCCTTTGCAATAGGGATGTGCTCTTTAACAATTGTCGATATAATTTGCGTTGAAAGTTATTATCTCTAGTTTAGCTGATCGCGTGTTATCTTTTTATTACTCGGTATTTCAAACTACTATTTAATCAGTAGATTGGTAGAGCATGTTCAAAGTGCACGTGCTTACTAATTTGACCTTAGAGATCATAGTACAACACCAATCGAACGCGTGATGTAGTTTGAACGAGTTGTTAATAGCCTGTTAGTACAGTCGTAGTATAACTTTGTTAATTTAGTTTCGATGTGACCTTGAAAGTCGATTTTCTCCGTAAAACTGGAATATTAGAATGGGCAACTTTGTCTTTAAAATAGTATGATTTTAATGAATTGTGTAAGACTTTCGAGTCGAAATCGAGGAGCTAACAACATCTAAAAATGACGTCCGCTCGTGATGGCGAAACGTCGAGAACCTCTTCTCGCGTACGTAGGCCGAACAGCCCGAAAACCAATGATATGCTATTTGAAAAGAACAAGTATAAGTGAAAACTTTTTACAGTAATAAAGAGATACAAACTTGATTGTTGAAGAAATGCTCAGATCAGATGAAACGTTAAAATTTTACAACCAGAAAAGGCCAGTTGTAACGTTTTATGAATATCGTACCTATTGTTTAAACGTGTTTCCTTCACATGCACTTTATTGTTTTAATCAGTCTGAAATTAAATCGATACAAATGTATTGGACAGAGTAAAATGTATTTTAAATATGTTATTTTAACACAGTGTTAACTAAGTGACACAATATGTGGAGGTTTTAATTTTGTATAAGCTAACTATTGCAAGTATTAAATTATTCAAGCACAGACTGTATTTCATTATTACGACCAAATTCATGACTAAGGAGTTTCTTCATAACATAATGACAGTTTTCTAGGAATGAGGCCAGTCCCAGTTGTGGGTCTTAACAGCTTGATGACCAATATTTTTATTACGTATCGATTTAATTGTAGAGGCATTGGACATGTTGGGAATACCCACAACCCGTTAATTATCTATACTAATATTAAAAAGCTAAAGAGTTGGTTTTAACGCGCTAATCTCAAGAAATATGTACTTGAATTAATCGAAAAAAAACAGGGAATATTATTAATTTAACAGTAACAGCTATAATTTAGGAAACTGAGGAGGTTTTCAGAAATAAATATCTAATATGTTGCCCGCAATAAATACACTACGCGGATGAAGTCGCGGGCACAGCTATCCTTATATCGCTTACATTGGTCCTACGACCATTCTGGAGACTAATAAATTTTGCAATTAAATCAGAAACATAAGTATTACTCACTCCACTGCCGTGAAATCCAATAAAATTTAACGTGATAATAATTGTAATTTATTATCTTGAACTTAAAAATTAGTAATTAAGCGTGTAGTAGTATAACAAGTATTTAAATGAAATAATATACATCAATGTCTGTTTCCGTTTATTTGAATCCGAAATAGGTCGAGAGCGCATCTTGTGTAGAGGTTATATGGCTCGGGTATTTTCACATCCCCCAAACTCACCTCATCACGCCTGTCTGCCCTCCTGTATAAAAATTAGAACATAGTCGACAGCGTACGTGTTTATGTTATACTAGTTACTGGTGAGTCCAAAATTTGTTTTTATAAATTATAGCACTGTTATTACGACGGTCGTATCCAGTCATTTTGCAAGTTAATCTTAAAACATAGCCCTATATTGTCGCGCAAATTTTATAGATCGTTTAAAGAGGAATCCTTTCATTTAAATAAAAAACTTTAACGGTTTAAAACGCGTATCTTGCAAGTTAAAATTATTTGGAATATGGATCTTTAACTTCGGCCAGACGTTTCGGACATTGCTTTAGATGCCGTTTGCGCGAAAGCATCCGAAATGTGCATACACGCTCTATAGGGATTCTTATACATATTTTTTGGGTATCTTGAACCATTTTCGCAGCGCACGCAACGGAAACCCACAACGATGAATAACATCCACCTTTTTTTCCATTGTTTCTTCGCTCCTATTGGTCACAGTGCCATGTTTTAGCCTATTGCCTTCCTTGATACAAATATATTTTTAATTCAAAACAGTAGTTTCTGAGATTAGCGCGTTCAAACAAACAACCAAACCCTTCAGCTTTATATCTTTGTATAGATGACCTTCAAACAAGTGACCCCATTTTTCTGTTGAATGATGAGCCCTTTTTAAATTAAAGAATCCATTAACATATTAATAGACATTTTATTTTAATTACAGATAATTCACAAATAACTATACTTCGGCACATTTCTTCAAACAAAGTCCACGCAAACAATTATCAAGATCGTTAGGCCTTTCCATCTGAAAAAAAATAATTAAAACCATTAATTTACATTACTTACGTCAGAATTTAATTTGAATAATAATGCTTTAATGTACGCAATTAGGTACTCATTAAACTATAAAATTTAAAGTCGCTGACATCTTGTTCTGACAAAAAAAATCAAAGACGTAAGATTACATGGTTATGTTCGCAGTGGAAATCGAACCAAGCACCGATAAATTTTTTAGCTTTAAAAATTTGATGAGGTAAAATAAATGTTGATTGTGTACTAACAAAAACACCAGTTTGATGTTTTTCACAATGTATCGCTATGTTTTGTCCTATTGCAGATAAAGATTTTAATTTTTCATCAATCGACCGCCATATTGGACCGGCTGAACATAGCATCTTCATGTTTCCAAAGATGTAAAAACCTGGGAACGATTTTAAGGAAACCAGAAAATTTTATTTATATAATTACGTTTGGGCGGGAAGTGAGAAATATCAAACATTTAAATAAAATACTTTAATGGTTTAAAACGCGATATATTAGTGTCGATACTAAGTGATCACCACAGCGTTCCGTGCTGCAGCTCTAACCAATTGAGCTACCGTGTTCACGGTTTAAGCAATTTTTTCAATCTAAAGAGATTTCTAATTTATATAATACTATCATGTGCAATAAAGTTTCAAAAACATTAGTTATCAAACCTTACCTTCTTTAGCTCTAGACAGAGCAACACAGATCCTGTTTGAAGCCGAAAGGAATCCGATATTGCCATCTCTGTTACTCCTTACTAGAGACAGTATGACTATCCTGCTCTCCTCCCCTTGATAGTTGTCTACCACGGTTATCCTTATGTCGCGTAAGAGGCTGTATTTCTTACTGAGCTGGTAAAAGAAAAGAATATTCGGCAAATGTTGTTTGTTATTCCCTGCCATATGAACCCAGGACTAAAATGGAGCTGATATTTTATGTTGCGTTTAAAAGGGTTATTTAGAGTTCGCTAATTTGATGGACTGATCAACCAGCTTTAAAAAATAAAAATTTTCCAGAAACCAGAACCCAGAATAACGAATGAGTTTTCGCAGCGTAACGCATTGGAAACCCACAAAATTGAAAAAAACTCAGTTTTTTTTTCTACATGTCCCGCTGTTTCTCTAAAACAAAAATATTTTTTTAAATTCGAACTAGTAGTTCGTTATTAGTGCGTTTGACAAACAAACGTATCATATACCACAAAAATCATCTTACGAACTAACTCATGAGAAACATGAGAAAAAAAAATATATCCTCAGTTTACCTACATAATTACCTCTTTTATAAGCGACGCTTGACCCGTGTATGTGGTAAGAATGGTGACGTCATCAGGTGAATACTCCATGCGACGTAAGTAATTAGCGAGGGCAACAGTCCACCGAGCTTCAAATGAGTTTTTGTGACTCCAGCTGTCTTCTAAGCCCTAAAGGCCCTACATAAAAATGAAATACAATAAATGGATTATTATTTTTCATACAAAATTAAAGAAGAAAAATAAAATGATCGAGAGTCATAAAAAAAAGGAAATAACGCAAGACAGCCGTACATTAATCTCTAATACAAAATATTTAGTTACAAAATATGATTTGTATAAATATACCTCTGAGTCTTCAAACACATCGTGGTTATAAAAGTATAGGTTATCCCTCATTCCACGAACATGAGGATAATTGTAAACAATTGGATGGCTTTCCAGCTTTTCGTATATAGTCGGTACCAAAAGTTCCACGAAGTTTGGTCGCATGCGCCGCTGCGTGGTCAGAGTTTTGGCATGAATGGAGTTCTTAATCATGCGTTCGAAGAGGGATATTTCTAAATTGTAGTGTTTGGCTAGTTTGTAGTGCGCTGCGGAGGGTCTAAGTTGTTTATGATCGCCTGAAAAAACGTACTGAGTTATAGGTTAAAGATTTCTAACTGAAAGTATCTCTAACTGAGAATTGACACGCTATGTTTTTAATGATTTAACGTATTGAGCCTTGCGGAGCTTCGATTGATATTATAACAATAACGTTATGGTAAATGAAATTGCTGGACAGGTGTCACAGTGCTTAAGTACTATCTCCTCAGAAACGGCTTAACCGATTTTAATGAAATTTTGAAGCTGGACGATTCATTATGTCTAAGTATCGATTACTTATATACGTTGTAAAATGATAAGGGTTATGCACCCTTGAGCTCTTAAATCTATTTTTTCGATGCTCTTTATAACCTACGACTAATGTCTTTGCCAACTGAAAGTCAAATTTTAAACCTTTACTCAACCCATACTTTTTGTTGTATCGTTATGTTCTAAACATGTATGTGAGATACATTATGTCAACATGTGAGTTCTTATGCATCAAAACTAGATTGAAACAACATGTATAACACATTTAGCACATAAGAACTCTTTAACTAGTTTAAATGCAATGGAAACTCCCCGCGACCTATAAGGTCATATTCTAGATACAAAGCATCCGAAACGTCGGGCCGTTAGTCTAACAAACACAAATCATGTATGTTCATAATTATAAACGGTTAAAGTGTTTTATTTAAATGAAAATTATTGCTACTAAGACTATAGAACATTATTGTATTTGACATATGTTACCACATGAAATATATGTTAAAAAAATTAAAGAAATTTAAACGACGACAAATGCAATCTTAAACAAAATAATAAATAAACAATATTTTGTTGAATTCTCAATTTTTTAAAATTTTTAGCTTAAAAGGAATTCTCGAACGGGAAGCAATGCTGGGCGAACGTTTTTATATTTGATACAATTACTTATCAGACTTCTAAAGCCCTGCAGGATCTACACTTTTATTATTGTCTGAAACTATCTAGACAACTATTTAATCTATTTAGTTACAAGGCACTTCAGTCAGGGAGTACAACCGTCATCTAAATTATATAATGCGAACGTTGCAACTTTGCCATATAATTTATTAGTTTCAACGTGAGTAATTGAGCAAAATGAAAAATAATTAAATTACCAAAACAACTAAAAATAGCGATATGATTAGTTCCACTTTATAAAATATTTTTAAACTATGCCAAAAAACATTAAAGTAACGAAGAAGAATTAGTTACATATAATATAATTTGATGTTTTAGGTAATTATAAAATATAATCCGTAGAATGCTTACCTATAAGTATTAAATGTTGACATCTTGTAGTTAAAGATGCAATTACATGAGACTCCAAAACCTCTGCTGCCTCCTCTACTATTACTGCAACAAATTAATGAGTTACAGAAAAAAACTGTTATTAACGTAGCAATATAGGGTGCATTATTAACATACAGCTTTGATGAATTATGTTTCATATATACGTAAGTTTGTTTATCTATATTTTTTGAAACAGGAGGACAGACAAGCACTGGGTTAACCATTCATCTGTGGACGGTAAGGTTCACCAGCCGTACGGAACCTTTCAACAAGATATTCCTACTACCTACTTATAGTTTTCAGACTTGAAGATTGCGTTTAACATGATACAGAAATACTTTTTATCTCTGGGACGTGGGTAATCACCCTACCCATAGATTAGAAATTTTTTTGGAATATTTATTTTACATATTAATACATTGCTTACCATTAGACAAATAAACCCCCTCGATATTATACAGATATATATAGCACCGTATTTGAAAGGACATCGATTTTTTGTATTTATTATAATTATGCACCCTTAACCATAAAATTAGTAGTGGTTTCTTGAAGGATATTTCCGTGGCGGAATTAGAACATTAAAAAATTTGTGTGTATTTTTAAACACTAAGCTTCTTGGTACTAAATTACTGACCCTGTAGACATGACGTTTCTCGTTGAGTAGTAGTCAGTGAAACAGATTCAGACCTGCTCTGTTTTAGTGACTACCATGGGGATTTTTAAAAATGGATTACCAATTGGTGACAGCAACTTTCTCATGAGGTCGTGTCTTCGCGCAGCCAACGTAGTGGTCACTCCTACTACTCGAACAGTCTTCATAACATCACTATCGATAAGAGTAGATACTTCTTCTAATTCCTTTGTGAGGGCATTGTATTTTTCCTGTTAAATTGCATACAATTATTGAAGTATAATAATGTATGTTACATTAAAAACGAGTTTAAATGGACGCAAAGTTAGCAATTATTTCTTCTTAATATATAGTTTTTCGGTTTATGTCCCATAACAGATGTTTTAGTTAATTAAGTACAATTTACTTGGTAAGAGGATCTCTCTGGTCGTTTGATTTTTTTATCAAAAGAGATAAGTATTTAAAAATTGTCTTACCAGTAACTGATTTATATTCCTTTGTAACTCAGTCTTAACTCCATTGACAGCATAAAAATATACTTTCCACCTCTCATCTAATGTTAGATCATACAAATCTTTAATATTTTTCGGCTCTATTGGTTCTTTACTTTTGCTAGACATATATTTCTGTAATCATAGGAAATACTTAAAATATTTTCGATAAAAAAGAAAAATAACTAAGAAATCAGTGTTTAATATTATAATCATACAAGATTATACAAGTTTGTCATACTGCCCCGGATTCGAACCAAAGACCGCCCAGGCTGAATGCAATGGGTCCATAACGAAGGATGTAACCAATATTTTTTTTTATGTAACTACTACTAAAGTAGGTTTTAGGCAGTGCCAAGACCAGCTAATGTTTTACCTTGAAACACTCCAACCAATATCTTATCTTTTCTATTTTCACTTCAAATTTATGCACCATTGTTTTTCCATCGATTTGTTCCGTCACATCTTTCAGATACTTAATCCCATTTTTCATAGAATCTATTTCTCCTAGAGCCCACGTCTCCGAAAAACATGTCTCTATTTTATCACTGTCATCCAAATCTTCACATTGCTTCTCCCAATCATCAATTTCGATACCTCTGTCATCAGAATGGCCGAACAGCCATTCCAAAATGGCGTCATCGTTATTCGCTTTTAATTCTAAAACGACATCATCTACCCTCAAAAAAGGTTTTACTGATTTGTAGCAAAGTATTTCTTTATCACACTTCTCAATATCCGTTTGTAGATCCATCATCTCCTTGTAAACCTTTTCTATCTCAGACCGCTTACTCGCATAGAGATAGGAATACCTCGATTTAGTTTTCGTTCGTAGATTATGAAGCGTGTAGGATTCTAGTAGCTTACTCTTACTTTGACTGCCTAATCTTACAATATTATCTGTGATATTTAGAATGCCTTCCAAGAATTGATCTAGGGCATGATTCGTGTAACAGATAATCAACATCGGCGTACCGTCTAGGGATAAATTCTTAAGGATCGTAGACGCTATTTTGATACCTAAAAAGGTTTTTCCAGTTCCGGGCGGACCTTGTATGACCGCGAATTCTCTTGTTAGAGCAAAGTTATACGCTTCCATTTGTGATTGATCCAAACCAAATTCTTCATTGGACGGCCATTGCGATTTATCCAGTACAGGAAAATAGATATCTCCTTGTTTAGTTTGTATTGTGTATATTGTATCTGAGTTTATATATGCTGGAGGTTGGGTGTTTGACTAAAATATATTTAAAAGAAGTTGATGAATGTGTACATATATTTTTTGTATGATGTATCAAGAAATATTTAACCATGATCCTATATGATGTAAAGCAGTTAGGTGGCTTAGACGAGACTTTAACACTTGGTAAGAGAAATATATGTCTTCACGAAATAAAAATATCTTTGATATATTTACTTATAATAGAATGTTAAAATAAGTGCAAAAAAAAAAATCCAAAAAGTAAAACTGTATCTTAGCCCTTTCTATTTATATTAAGTACTTACATATTATAACATAGTAAGTACTTACCTGAACGTCGATAATATAGTTTTTCATAGGCAATTCATCAGGCCTGCAGTTTTGCAACACTTTGAGAACTCTGTGGTAAGGCTCAAAAAAAACCTCGCTTTCAATCATTGTGTACTTTTCTGAGAATATATTACTTGATACAGGGTTATCAAATGACACTAAAATCTGCAATAAAAATAAAACAATATAAATACATTCTGCATACAATAATAAATAAAATTTTGTGCTAATTTAATTTCTCAAAATTTACTAATGACAACCTTTAATATTGCTATAACACATGATGGCATATATAAAAAGCAACATTACAGAACTTTGTGGTTCAAGTCCTGCTCATGTCATTTTTTTTAATTATCGATTTTTAATTTATTACTTTAATGTACCAATTAACCAAATTAATGAAACATTTTTACTATTATATTTCAAATTTTAAATAATCAAAGTGTTTTGTATACATGCATACATTTTAAAAATATTTAATACATACATAGCCTTCATTCAGCAATGCAACACTGGAATCCAGTACTGATGCACATAATATTGTATTAAATTCATCGCTAGTGAATAAAAGTAAAGAACCAAACATTAGCTGTTTGTTTTTGACATATCTTGTACAATTCACAGATTTGTCTTTGAGTCGTTCGTCCCAGGCTATATCAACTAAATGACCAACTTTGTTACCGCTTATGTATGTGGAAATAATCCGTACTTTTGGGAAAACTCTGAAACAAATAATATAGTCTAGTAAGTACATAAGGAACTTTGCTCAGATTGTTGTCATAGTTTTAGTTAATAATAAATATAAGGTGAGGTTCAATCCCCATATATCATTAGGTATATTCCTGTCCTATCAAGTGAGCCATATACTTGTCCTTCTCTATCATTAAAAAATAAATTAATTAAGGAGAAATATAATATAATAGACAACATCATACAAGAGTCCAAAAGCAGTAACTACACTTACAAAAGGGGTTTTTTAGTGGTTTCAAATATTTTCATATTTTTAACTATCAACAGGTGATACAGCAACTAAATAGAAGCTTTTTTTTTAATTTTTAGTCTGTTCTAATATTTAATTTTAATAACAAAGCTATAAAAACTTACCTTATATTTTCATGTCTTCTCTTAGTTGGATTATCTAAATACTTAGCTGAAATATATAAAAAGATATTACTTTTTATAAGTATAGTTAATATAATTGAATATTAGTATATGACAATGATACTACACTGGATTATATACTACTGTATACTGGTACTATAAATATATTTTAACAATTTTTACCAACATATTCCTTCTCTGAGTGGACCGTAGCAATCTTCTCTTAGCAATTTAAATTGTACATCCAAGTAGTGTTCAACACTTGTATAAGCACCATTAACTATGTTAGGACGAATATCAACCAGTGTGCCAGAAACTAAGTCCTGCTTTGTTGGGAAGATGGGAATATTTCTAAAACTATTAGGATCCATATTTGTAAAATGCTGCTGGGTTAAAGCATTATGATCCTGGAAAATAATTGAAAAATATTTTTGGATCAATCAAGATTTATTTTTGCTAATTTCTTATTGTTTACATTAAAAGTAATTTGGAAAATATGTAATTAATATCTTACCTGTGATATGGATGAGGAAATTTGTTCTTTCAATTGCTGTATTTTAGAGTAAAAACTTTCTCCAATTCTTTCGCTATGTTCTTCTTGAACACCAATAGCACTTATTTCTGCAGTTGTAACTAAATCCAGTAATTCATTTAAGAACTCCTTGGACTCATTCTGATACACAAAAATACCATAACAAAACTCATACACGTTAAAATAAAATGTCTCTACATCATCCCAGAATTGCATATTTAGTCTCTTTTCTACAATTCTCACTGAAGGTAATCTCTGCAGATATTCCTTTAGTTGTGTTAGATAATTTGAATGCATAAACTTTGATTCCAATAATGTGCTTATTTTAGATTTCTCACCACGATCTAAAGATTTATACAACGCTGAAAGAACTTTCAGTATCAACACAATATAATCTTCTTTTAAATCGTTCTTAAAAAGCAGCCAAAAACCGGGTCTGTTGGCCAATTCTATGTTTAAAGACGGTGGTTTCATAAACGAAATGTCTAATAGTCTTTTAAAACCGATGGGTTTTCTTTCAGATTCTTGAGGTTTTTGGGCTACTTGAAGGTTTTCAGTTTCTTCGTCATTAAATTGGGAAGCACTGGGTCTCGTTTCTTCTATAACTGTTCCGTCGAACCAGTCGATTCTTAGAGACTTGGTGTTGTCGGACATATTTATTTATTTTATTAAGAATGTGAGAAATTCACAGTGAAATAACAATGGGAGATATAATATTGTTACTATAAACAGCTGTTTGATAAGAAAATCAACTGACGATCAACAGGTAAATGACATACGTCTAAAGGATCTGTCAAACTTCTATCTTCGTCTATGATACACCACAGATTAGTTTAAATTTAATATTTGAAGGGTTAATTTGAGAGATAACATATAAATCAATTATTTTACATATTTTGTAATATTAACTGTTTTGTTGAGCAATATTAAAATATGTAGATAATAATTTTACTTTTGTCCAATATTTTTTTAATTATAAATTGGTATTAGAATTAAAATGGCGCTTGAATAAATAAAATAATCTCATAAGCAACCTACTATATATAATATATTATTTATCGTCTAGTAGGTTGTCTATCACTTCATGTTTCATGTCAAGACTTTGGTTTGCAACTTTATATTTTAATGAAATAATTACATAATGTTGTAGTTAAAATAACATAAGTTAGCGCATGTTACATTTTGCGAATGAACATTTATTATTATGGTTGCACATATATCATACATTTATATACTTAATTCCTTCCTCCACAAAGACGGAAAGGGGAAATAGGTGGAATGGTCAGTAAATGATGTGGACTCCTTTGGATCCTGTGGATCACCTGGCCTTAAGTCGGTGTCCCCAATAGAAAATAAATAATAATAATATATACTTGTTGCGAATGGATAAGTATTTTTCTTATTGTGATGTGGATATCTACTAAATATTAATATAAAGTTTTACTTAGGTATTTTATTTATACTACAAATTCAAAGCGGTGTACAAATTTACTACTATTGCATAAACCGTGCACAAAGAAAAAAGAAATTGAAACAAGTTCTTCGATTCTAAAGACAGAAGGTCCATTAATTTCGAAATAGTCAATTTCCTTATTCATCGATGTTTGAATAATAGAATGGAATTCTTAAACTCTTTTCCGGCGCAAAGCCGCTGGTTGGCACAATGCCAGTGCTATCAAAAGTATCTGTTTGGGGCGCAATAATTCACTTTTAGAAATGAAAAGAAATATTCCCGCCCGCCTTATCGGTCACGTTCCGGAACCAGAAATGTTGGGAAAATATTTACTTCGAAATTTAAAATATATTTTTCTTAAAAAATGAAGTAAAAACTTCTCAGTTCTATCTTTTTGGTGAGTCCTTTTATTGTCTATGGAATAATTGAAACACCAAAGAAAATCAAATATATTATGTTACCATAACCAATTGGATACATAAATTAATATAGTTATAGATTATATTACATTGTAATAAAGTTTACATGTATTTTTTGACCGCCTCTGTACCGCCTCGGCACAGAAGTCTGATCAACTGCTGGCCTGAAAATAAAAACAATCAGTGAACATAGAAAATGTGTTCGCCCCATGCCCCACGGGGGAAAGAGGATTTCATATTTTTCATACGTGTATTTTTTTTGGAAGTAAAATCACTCTAGGTACCTATGTCTCCTTTAGCATGTCTCAGTCAAATTGAAACCAAAATGTATTGAGCTTACTCTCATACACCGAGTCCTTTAATCAACTCCCTTAGGGCTAATCAAAATCTCGTATGGCTCCTGTTACATAGTGAATTTGGGAGCTCGTTATTCAACTGACGGATTTAATGTTGACAACCCTATTATGTCTCGAATGAAATCGTAAAGGAATCACTACTGACTGGAAGCGGGAATAGAATAATGAATAAGAAGACTAGATATTTACCGCGGTGCCTCGTGTCTATTATTGGAAAAGTAATGAAATTGAAATTAAATTTGACGATTATTATGACAAGATTCGATCCACGACATGCCTTTATGCCAATTATGATGTATAAAGTCAACATATTGCAACACGTGCAATATTAATCACGTAAATTAATATATTAATAACGTATATAACGTACGTAAATATAATCGTATTACATAAGTAATTTAAGAGTTGATTTTTTTTGACTCGGCAAGGCTTGAACCGGCATCGTCAGTGTTGCGTGACGTTGCACTACCAATTGAGGTACCGAGCCATTGTGTTATTAAGTTTAATGATACCAATATGAGTTCTTACTTATCTTACTGAGAATGTTATAAAGTTTTGACTTTACTTAAATCTGTTGTAAACTGGGAAAAATATAAAAGCCATTAAATCGAAAAGATACAGCTCTGTGTTTTTCCAATCAATCATGATTTAAAACCAAAAAACCTAACCTCCAAACGTTGTGGTCGTGGGTTTGCCTTCATGTCGTATAATTTATACTTTACAATAGGTTTTCATTTCTAGAGTTAAAATTGCTCACATGAAACGGGACATCATTTCTCGTAGATTTCAATGTTAATTTTGCGTGATTATCGACAATAGACTAGATAGATAATATATTTTAGTGTGTATTTATGATAACCATAAAAACTTCAAGTTCGGAAAAGTTAGTAACCTCATTCGGTAAAACTCTTCCAACGTGCTAATCTTTTTTATACTCTATGAATGGGTTCCGGGGGGTGGGGGCAGTTCTCTTAACTAGTCTGCCATTATCTTTTTTATATTCCTCTCTTCCTAGCACCAACCACGTATAGTCCTTTTTCTCTTCACTTCTGGTTTCCTGGAGATTGCTGTTTAGCAATAAGGCATTATCGCCTATTCTTTATATGCTATTTATAGTGCACATTTTAGTTCTTGTAAACCATTCCTGTGGTGTTAATATAATTAATAACAGTTTAATAAAAAATATATTCGGCTAAGTCTTACACTCTATACGTAATTGTGGTTGCGCGTAGGTTTGACACATCGAGTTATCCGACTAAGGTCACTTTCCTCACCAGGAAGGAAAATGATGTAGAAAAAATTGACGTAAATCGTTTTTAATGGAATTGTGCTTGACAAAGTTAGGCCTCCGATATAATGCTATAAATCTCCGTCGACATCTTGACGGCAGCTGATAAGAAATTCAATTTGATTGGCGATGTTAATCGCATTTTAAAAAATTTTTTTGAAGTGCGACTTCCTTTGGTACCTACTAGCCACGTGGATACAACCTAATTTTTTTTTCGTTTTATGTTTGTAAAATGTACTAAGAGTAAACTCTTATAGTATCTTGATACTCAATCATTGTTTTCCCTTCATATCTTGTTGCGTGGAAGATATCGCCTGTTTAGGGGCATTTAAAACGTATAAGTATAGGCTAGTACATAAGTCTTTATTTTTGTAAATCATTCTGGGTGTTTGTATTGAGATTTTATAAATAAATATTTCTTGCGTGTAGTCTATGCGAATAGTACTCAAACAAGACACTTAACAGCTTAAAACGAAAAAAATATTATAGGGCAATAGCGTATCAAATCTGAGTTAAGACCACTACTACGGCGGAGGATTAGAAATCAGAATTATTGCTGATTACTTGATTTCTGATACATTTCGATTTCTTTTAACGTGCTCTGACATTTCTAATTATGTAGTTTATTTTAACGGCTTTAAACGCAAAATATAATATTATTAAATCCTAAACTTTTAATTGCAACTATTATATTTTGCGTTGTAAACCTGTATAAGATTATAATATAATTTGCAAACCGTCTGAAAAATGAACGAAAAAAAGAACGAACAAAGCACGATCGGAAAGCTGTAATTTTTCATAACATTTAACATATCATCTGAATCCAGACATCATGTATGGTATGAACGTTATCGTTAAGCAAGCGGACCCAGACTCTATCTTTCCACTCAAATGGCTTCAAACGTTGTATGAAATGGATCTGTATTCTGTATTTATGAAATTCTGGGTGTATTTGAATAGAATCCACCAACAAATTCGAAGAAATGATTTGAAGGAATCTTCAGTTTGGTCACTCTTGGTTGACATGGACTTTTGACAGAGTTAAGATGTTCCACTTCATGAAAGGAAATACCCCGGCCATATAACATCTAAACAAAATGATTTGTCGACCTATTTTTGCTTTGGATTTTGGAAAATAGTGTTTTATAACTAACCGCGCTTTAAATTTGTAACTAATAATTCCAAGAAGTAATATATGATTGATGTAGAGAAATTCTTAACAATTTGCTGTTTTGTTTAAACACGCTAATTTCAGACACTACTTGTTCGAATTGAAAAATTCTTTTTGTCATTAAGAATTTATCGAGGTAGGATTTGGGGTATAAATGTCACGCTGCTGCGTAAAAAAAACGGGGTGTATTGGTCAACCTTAGAAAAAATTGATATTTCTCTATAAACGATCTAAAAAAATGTCTAACAATATATGTCTATCTTTTAAGATAAACTTGCAAGAACGAGAGGACGTCCGGCCGACGTCGTGGGTAACTACTATAAATTATAAAGTTGAGGAGAAGGCTGCAAAGACAATTTCTTTTTTGCCCAAAATGGCTAATCTAAACGGACAAAGTCGCTGACACAGCTAGTGTATCATAATATAACAGCTGTTGTGTTTCATAAACGTTATGTTCGCAAAACGGATTATTACCCAATTTTCAGAAAGATTACCACAATATAAGTTAGCCGATTAGTCGACCTACAAATCCTTTACCCCGAAATATCGATCTACAAACGGTTCATTATTTAATGACTCGCATGAAGTCAAACCTAAATTTACATAGAGTAATTTGATAATATTTTGACGAAACAATGTATGGATATATCCAAGTCCCAAGTGATCCAACGTCTGGAAAATCTAGACTAATTTATTTCATAAGGCTAGTTAGTAACTAGGTACACAAACATGTTTTAAACTACTTAAGCTAATTATAGTAAGAATAATTCTTATGTACCTAACTTATAAATATGCACAGCGTTAACTATAGATATGTATATAGAGAGATATTGACTACTCACACACAGCAGACCACATAAACAAACTTATGCTTAGTTGATTCTATATAATAATATAATCATTAAGACAATTTACTGATCAAGATATTGAAGTGCTTGTCTTTTGAAAATATCAACAGTAAATAGGG